AGTCGCCTAAAAACACACCTCCTCCGCTTGGCGTTCCCTGAACGTGTTAGAATTTGGCCCTCTTTTATGTTGAATTTATTTCCCTGTTTTCATTGGTCTCTTTTTCCCTTGTTTGCCCATTTGTCTTCTGCTTTAATGTTATACCTTTTTCGCACTATTTGAATTGCTTTTATTTTTTATTTATTGATCATGTTTCACATTTCGCATTTACCATGTTCAGCACCTTGGGCTTCCCGACAGGGTCGCGGAAGGCGCTTTATAAAAAAAAGCTTTGATTGATTGATTGATTGATATATTGATTGATTGATAAAAAAGTTGCAACAACGCCACCCTGGGTTAACCCCAGAAGGGTAGAAGAAGGCCCGTATGTTCAAAAATCACGATGGGAACTGATGGTGTCTTTCCAATAAAACAATTCTTTATTAAAATATCTAAGCTAAAAGGAGACAGACGGAGTTAAGTTAAACGCTCAGAGTTCAGTTATCACCAGTCAGCCCACAAGAATTAGCCACATTGGTCTAGGGCAAACAAATACTAAATAAAGTTAAACATGCAAAAATTAAACACGCCAAACACAAAGAATGATAATGAAAACAGACAAACACAGTAAACTAAATAAAGATAAATGTTTTTAAACCTGTGGGCATTCTGGTGGTTGCCCCGGCAACCAGGCGTCCGACGCCCAACATCTAATTAAAACAAACCAATAGAGCTCCGGACGTCACGTGACTCTCAGAGAGTAGACGCCATGTTGGCAGGCAACAAAGGTAAACAAAAGGAACGGGGTCGGCTTGGATTTTACTCTGTCGGAGTTTACTTCACACTTTAAAACCGAAGAAATAGTTTTATATAGTCAGAATTTTTTTTATTTTATTTTTTTTAACCCTGTCCTGTCTGCCTGTGAAGCAAAGAGAATTGATGTCTGAATGCTGGTAACAAGCCTTACAGATTTACTCTCAGGTGGAGCATCAAAGCGTCTGCTTTTAATGTCACGCCTGATACTTAAAACTTTATTGTTATTGTTTTTGAATGCTTTGTAATTCCGACCAGACACGGAGTCAGAGGTGAAAGAGAAAGGAAAAGAAAAGGTGGGGAGAGAAGGGGGAAGGGGGTGGGGGGTTCCACAAAAATAAACAATAATGAACAAGAGTCTGCTTCTAGACCTGTAAAAAGAGACAAGAAAAAAAAAGAAAACAAAACAAACAAAAAATGGGACACAACAACAATACAAGATCAAGCTATCACTGCGTCAACTTGATGAAGAAATACATAATCAACATTGTTTAACTGAACAATCACACGATAATAAATCACAGTGCATTTGTCAAAGTTGGGACAGTTTATGCAGTGCTCCCTTACTGTGCAGAAGTCGGTTTTCCTTTAATTATCAATTGCATGTCGTTTTGATCCAATTATTAATGCATGTTTTTCTTTTCTGAGGGGTTTGCTTGTTTAGTTGCATGGATTTGTGTTTTCTTGTTATGGATGGCTTCTGTGTGGACTACAGGAGGCTGAACGCCCTGACCCACAAGGATGCGTACCCCTTGCCCCGTATTGAAGAATCCCTGACTGGACTAAAAGCTGCTAAATGGTACTCCACTTTAGATCTTGCAAGTGGTTACTGGCAAGTGGAGATGGACCCAACTGATCGGGAGAAGACTGCCTTTACTACACCTGTAGGCCTGTACAAGTTTGAACGGATGCCTTTTGGCTTGTGCAATGCTCCTGCCACATTCCAGAGGCTGATGCAGCGTTGTCTGGGAAACATGGTAAATGAGTCTTTGTTAATTTATTTGGATGATGTGGTTGTGTTTTCTGCTGATTTTGACAGCCACGTGCGCCACCTGAGCGAAGTGTTTAACAAACTCCACCAACATGGATTGAAGTTGCAGCCCAGCAAGTGCCACTTGTTCCAACGGAAGGTAACATATCTGGGACATGTGATTAGTGAAGAAGGAGTGGCCACAGATCCAGCCAAGACAGCAGCCGTAGAAGACTGGCCCATACCTCAGACAGTAAAACAGGTGAAATCATTCCTGGGCTTCGCTGGGTACTACCAGCGTTTTATTCCAGCCTTCTCTAAACTGACAGTACCCCTGTATGCATTAACCCATGGTACTAGTCATGACAAGAGAACTAATCCTATCATTTGGTCCCCAGAATGTCAAGGGGCATTCAACGGAGTGAAAAAGGCCTTAGTCCAAGCACCAGTTCTGGCATATGCAGATTTTACACAACCGTTCAGGCTATACACTGCCAGTTTTTCTGGTCTAGGGGCAGTTTTGGCCCAAGTCCAAGGAGGCAAGGAACGGGTGATCGCGTATGCCAGTCGTAGTCTCCATCCAGCAGAGAGGAACGACCAGAATTATAGTTCCTTTAAGTTGGAACTATTGGCCCTAAAATGGGCTGTGACTGAAAAATTCAAGGACTACCTGTATGGTGCTAAGTTTACAGTTTTACAGACAATAACCCTTTGGTGCACCTTGAAACTGCACGGCTTGGAGCCGTGGAACAACAATGGGTGGCCCAGCTGGCGAATTTCAAAGATACCATCAAATATCGCCCAGGGGTATAAAATAAAAATGCTGATGCTCTCTCCCGGTTGCAGGACCACGAAGTGGCTCGAGTGGCTCAGGTCAGGAGGGACCAGGAGGAGAGCTGGATGGAACGTCAGGCCCGTGATCCTGACCTTGCTCAAGTGTGTCTGTGGAAGGAACATCACTTGTCTCGACCAGAGGTTCAGGATGCCTCACCTTTTATGAAACGGCTGTTAAGGGAGTGGGAGGACCTGGTGATCAAGGACGGCATGGTTGGACGGACACAGACAGGTACCGACCCCAACCAAAAGCTTTTCCAAGTGCTCATTCCAAAGGGAGAGGCTCAGGAGGTGTGGAGGCAGTATCATAATGAAATGGGACATCCTGGCAGCGCACGGACTCTGGCAGCTTTACGACAACGTTGCTATTGGCCCCGGATGATGGAGGAGGTGAAGGAATGGACAGAGAGTTGTCCAGTGTGCGTCTGTTCCAAAGCCAGACCTGAGGTGAGAGCCCCTTTGGTACCCATCCAGACCTCTTATCCATTTGAGGTAGTGGGCATGGATTATTTAAGTTTGGGACGGCCTGAGGACCGATACCCTTACATCCTGGTGATAACAGATTTGTTTTCAAAGTATGCCGTTGCAGTTCCAGCCAGGGACCAATCAGCTAATACCACAGCTCGAGCTCTGTACAGCAGCCTGGTCCAGATATTTGGGTGCCCAGAACGCATCTTGACAGACCAGGGGGCTGCCTTTGAATCTGCGCTTCTCCAAGAACTCTGTCAGCTGTATGGGTGTAAGAAAAGCCGTACCACAGCGTACCACCCACAAGGCAATGGGGCTTGTGAAAGATTCAATCAAACATTGTTGAACCTGTTGAACTCCCTTACAGAAACAGACCAAGCCCAATGGCCAGACCGATTACCTGCTCTTCTTCAGCCTTACAACAGCACTGTCCATAGTGCCACCAGGTTGACTCCGCACTATGTGGTTTTCGGAAGGCATGCCAGACTCCCAGTCGACTGGATTACAGGCCTGGGTCCTACCACAGAACACTGTACCTTGCAGGGTTGGGTGAGGCATCACAAAAAAACTTTGGATTTTGCCTACCAGACTGCGAAAGGTTACATCCAACAGCGGCAAACACAAGATCAGACCCATTATAACCGAAGGACTAAAACGCTACCAATTCTCCCAGGGGAACGAGTCCTGATTTGCAATTTCCGTCGGAGAGCAAAGGGCAAATTGGGCCCAAGATGGACTCCAGAACCATACGTGGTGGTGACACAGCTAAGAGAGGGTCTCCCAGTTTACGTTCTGAGGCCTGAGGGTAAGGAAACACCCACACGAACGGTACATCGTAATAACCTCAGGTTATGCCCTTTGAATGTGTCGCCAGGTGATGCAGGAGACCTGCCACAAGGACGTGAGGTTCCACGGACCGAACCACCAACTGGATTGCCCCCTCCAACATAGTGGCTGCCAGGGTTGGTTGCGGAGTATACCCAACCCTTAGCTGCACAGACTGATGGTATCGTACCTGACCCCCCAGTGAATCCAGCAGCCCCTAGGGATGACCAAAATAGGGCATCTTTACGACAGTCCAGACGAACAAATTTTGGGCATCCACCAGTGAGGTTTGGTGACTAATAGATGGTCGGGGCGACCTATATTTAAGAAGGGGGGAAATGTCAAAGTTGGGACAGTTTATGCAGTGCTCCCTTACTGTGCAGAAGTCGGTTTTCCTTTAATTATCAATTGCATGTCGTTTTGATCCAATTATTAATGCATGTTTTTCTTTTCTGAGGGGTTTGCTTGTTTAGTTGCATGGATTTGTGTTTTCCTGTTATGAGCACGGAAAATGAACTTCTGATTGAGAGCAGCTGCGCAGCTCACAATCACGGACTGATACGGCTTGGGATTGGACAATTGGGGGATTGGGACTGGATATAAAGACACTGACAGGTGTGTGTGAAGGGGAGAGACACGGAGCAAAGCCGCCGCAGAGTAACCGGGCAGCAGCGGGACGCGCGTTCCTGGAAACACGTTGGGTTGCGGTACCGACGCTTTCTATCTCCAGGGAGAGATCAGAGGACGCCGCGGAAGGATCCAGCTGTGACATCAGAATCATTCAACGCCCGCCAAACAGCTAAGTGAAGGGACGTGAAATATTGTGGCTATTTCCTGCGTGCCTGTGGATTCTGGGAGGGAAGTGAACGCCCCCCTGAGGTGTGTCTTGTGTTTTCCTCGCAGCGGCAGAACCGGAGCCAGGGAGGGAAGAGGAGCGGGGCAGCGGCCCACCCCGACTGATGACGAGCTGGAGCAGACGCAATCCGTGACGGAGCCCAGACGAGGGGGGCTGGGCCCTAGCCTGGAGATTTCTAAAAGCACCAGAGACTGAAGGACATCAGGCAGGACAGTAAGTCAAGTCTGGCGGTTTTAACTGGTTTTAATCCTGGTTTTAATCCTTTTTCGGTTTTAACCGTTTATTTATTTATTTATTTTTGTCTACCACTGTGAGCTTTTTATTTTATTTTATTTTCTACTTTTTAAATAACTTTTTGGAGCTCGACTGCTGTGTGTTTTTACCTGCTGTCCACTTTCACCTGCCTCATGTCTCTCACCTGCAGCCCTGGGTGTGTCGGCTGTGTGAGGCTGAGCCAGAAAGTTGTAGAGCTGGAGAAGAGGATCTCCACGCTCCACCAAATCCACGACCATGAGCGCGACGTGGACACCATTTTCTCCCGGACCTTCGCCACCACTGATGGGGCTCAGCTGGCGGATGCCGTTTCATGCCAGCCCGGAGCAAATTCCATCTCCGGTTCTCCAAGCAGGCTCGGAGTGCCGGGGGCCTGCACAGCATTCGCGGCGGAGGAGGAGCGCTGGTTACAGCTGGGGGCAAAGCCGAAAGCCCCCCTCAGCTCCACTCCCTTGCTCCAGGGTGCATGGGTCAAGGTTGGGTCCGGTAAAGGTGGGGGTACGCGGGGCGGCGGCCGCCGATCTCCTCCACCTAGCCTGTCCTTGTCCAACCGTTTCGGCGCCTTGGAGTTGGATTTTCCTCCTCTGCCAGCCCCTGGCCGTGACTTCAAAGGACCCTCCCGGCCGCTGCGGGACCAGCTGAATGGCAGCGGCCATCCACGTCACACAACCCCCCAGACTGAAGCTGGGACCCACCACGGAGCGCTGACTTCTTATCGCTGCAGTCCTGGGGGAGCTCAGCCCATCACTCAGCAGGTCCCGGAAGGGTCCTCTGCCCAGCTTCAACCAACTACCACACCCACACTACCACCGCCACCACCACCACCACCAACCACTCTCATCGTTGGGGACTCCATCATCCGTAACGTCAGGATGAGAGGAGCCCTGACCTTCTGTTACCCCGGAGCTACAGTGTTGGACATTGCAAGACACATCCCAGACCTCATCCAGAAACACACAACAGTGAGTAGAATCATCATCCACGCCGGTACCAATGACATCCGTAAGCAGCAGTCAGAGCTCCTCAAGCGTGATTTTATTCACTTTTTTAATCTTTTAAGAACTATGCACCTGTCTGTTTTTATCTCTGGCCCCACTCCCACCATGGGCAGAGGAATCAGCCATTTTAGCAGACTTTTATCATTAAACACCTGGCTTTCCTCTGCCAACGTGACCCGTAATGTTGGTTTTATAGACACTTTTAACATTTTCTGGGGCAGGAGACACCTGTTTGGAGCAGATGGGCTTCACCTAAATAGACAGGGGACCCGTACTCTAACCATGAGCCTGGCTTGTCCACGACTCCCCCATCTACTCCACTGGCCTCATCTGCTCCTACATCCTGATGTGTAGCTGGTCCCTGCTCCTACCAACCCAGCCCTGATTTTAACAGTAAATCACATATCAGACTTGGACCTTGCCATACCTCATTCATACCTGTTATTATCAGCAGAGAGCGGACAAACAACCATAAACCAAACAAAAGCAACCCCAATAATCTAAAAGTTACCAAAAGTCCCACCTTCAGTTAATACAGTCACTCCTTCACCAGTTACTATTAATATGGCTCTTTTAAATGTTTGTTCTCTGCTGAACAAAACGTTTTTAATAAATGACCTGATTTTAGATCGTAATCTACACTGTCTTCTTTTAACAGAAACATGGCTGAGTTCAGATGCACCTGTTGTTCTCACAGAGGCTTCTCCGCCAGATTTTAATTTTAATTTTTCAACGAGGAGTAGCAAAAGGGGAGGCGGTACTGCTTTTATTAGTTCATCAATACTTTCTGCCAAACCAGTTTTATTTGATAATTTTACCACTTTTGAATATACAGCAGCAGTTTTTAGCTCTCCCCAGATTTTATGTGTCACAGTTTATCGGCCTCCTAAGCAGAGTGCCATTTCTATTCAAGAATTTTCAGAGTTTTTATCAATCCTTCACAACTGCTTTGAAAGGATCAATTTAGCCGGTGATTTTAATTTACATATAGATAATCCTTCTGATTCTTTTTCAAAGGAGTTTTTAAACATTCTGAGTTATATGGATTTTAGTCAACATGTCACACAGCCAACTCACAGCAGAGGACACACCCTGGACTTGGTCATCACGTATGGCCTGTCCACCAGTGTGTCCTCTGTTATTGATTTGGCTGTCTCTGATCACTACTGTGTATTTTTTAGCATCACCAGTTTTATCCAGCTGGAACCCTCTGTGAGAACTGTAAGGAAGCATCATCTCACCCCTGAAGTGGCTGCAGGTTTTCTTGAAGTTTTTAGAAAGATCCCTCCCACTCCGGTAACTGCCTCTTGTGATTTTACTGTCAATGATTTTAACAGTAGACTGAAATCCGCTCTCGACCTGCTCGCTCCACTTAAAATCAAAAGTTTTTATTCAAAACGTGCTTCACCGTGGAGAAATGAAAATCTAAAGAAACTAAAGAGAAATTGCAGGGTTGCAGAGCGGAGATGGAGAAAGAACAAAACAACTATAAATCATCAAATATATACAGAGCTACTTAAATCATATAATAACGCAGTGAGAAATTCAAGACACGCATACCTTTCCAAACTCATTCTAGACAATAAACACAATCCCAGAATACTTTTTTCCACCATAAACAACATTTTAAACCGTACATCCACTTCACCTCAGAAAACACCCTCAAATGCACTCTGTGAGGAGTTTGCAGCCCACTTCAGAGGGAAGGTAGACACCATCAGACGGAATATTTTACCCTCCATTAGTAATAAGGTTTTAGATAAATTTGAATGTGTGTCTATACCAGAGGAAACACTGAACAGCTTTGTCCTGGTAGAAGCTGAGCCTCTTGATAAAGTTTTCTCCTCAGTGAGACCCACCACATGTGTTCTGGACCCAATTCCAACTTCGTTTTTTTTAAACAATTTTATGGATCTTTTAGTGATGAGATTTTAACCATGATGAATTGCTCCCTTCAGACAGGAGTCTTTCCTGCTGCCTTTAAAAGGGCGGTGGTGGGGCCCCTGTTGAAGAAGAGCAATTTAGATTTTAATGAATTAAACAATTATCGACCGGTATCCAACTTACCATTTTTAAGCAAGATTTTAGAAAAGTTGGTTTTAAATCAACTAAATGATTTTATAAGCACTAATAATGTCCTAGAGAAATTTCAGTCTGGTTTTAGGGTGAACCACAGCACCGAGACAACCCTTCTGAAGATTTTAAATGATTTTAGAGTAAATTATGATAAACAGAAGTTGACAGTGTTGGTCCTACTGGATCTAAGTGCTGCCTTCGATACGGTAGACCACACTATTCTTTTAACTCGTTTACAACAGATTGGCCTCTCTGGTGCTGTACATAGATGGTTCACATCCTACCTCACAGACAGGACTTTCATGGTGAGTTTGGATACCTGTTCCTCTAGGGTCCATGGGATTACATGTGGTGTGCCCCAGGGTTCAATTTTAGGCCCAGTGCTTTTTAATCTTTATATGCTCCCTCTTGGCAGTGTCATCAGGAGACACGGGGTCAACTTTCACAGTTATGCTGATGATACACAGTTGTACATCTCCGTGTCTCCGGATGACTCTCGGTCAATGGATGCACTTTTTAACTGTATTTTAGACATCGAATCCTGGATGGCAGAGAACTTTCTCCAGCTCAACCAGGACAAAACTGAAGTTTTAGTCATTGGTCCTGAGGCCCAGAGAGAGAAGCTTTTACTGAAATTACAATCTCTGTCATTTAATCCATCTGAACAAGTGAAGAACCTGGGTGTGATTTTTGACTCTGAGCTGACTTTTATCCCACACATTAAAAATATCACAAAAATAGGTTTTTATCATCTAAAGAACGTCGCCAGAGTCCGCCCCATTCTCTCTCGGGCCAATACGGAGATGCTGATGCATGCTTTTATCACCAGTAGGATAGACTACTGCAATGCCCTGCTTTCTGGTCTTCCCAAAAAGAGCATCTCAGGCTTACAACTTCTACAAAATTCAGCAGCACGTGTCCTGATGAAGACCAGGAGGCGGGAGCACATGACACCAGTTTTAGAATCATTGCATTGGCTCCCCGTATGTTTCAGGATCAATTTTAAGGTTCTTCTAATGGTTTTTAAGTGTCTTAATGGTCTTGGGCCTTCTTATCTATCAGAACTGCTTTTACAATATGAACCCTCACAACCTCTGCGCTCCTCTGGCAGGCGTCTCCTGGTCATCCCTAAAGTCAGGACACAAACTCACGGCGAGGCGTCCTTCCAGTGTTATGGCCCTCGCCTCTGGAACGAGCTGCCAGAGGACCTCAGGGCCGCAGAGAACGTTCATGTTTTTAAGTCAAGACTCAAGACCCATCTTTTTAGGTTAGCTTTTATCTAAATATTTACTACAGTTTTATTTCTCGTTTCACATGATTATATTTTATTACTTGCTTTGCATGTTCTATATGATTATATTTTAGCACAGTTTTATTATTTAAATTATTATTTTACTGTCTATGATTTGATTTATTACTTATTTTCTAATTGTTGTCATTTATATTAGCTCTTTTATTACATTTTTACTCATTTTAATCCAGTGTTTCCTCTGTGGGGGCCCTCTGCCCCGGGAGCGGTGGTCGACTGTAGCTTCCTGGGCGCTCTATAGGTGGGGGTCTATGCCCGCCCTCCAATGAGCGCCCTGACTTAGTGTGGAAGACCTGATGCTGCCGGGACAGACGGCTCCTCTGATGGCGTTTCCTTGCGTTACCATACTTGGCTCATCTGGACTCAGCCTAATATAATTTTTACTCGTGTGTGTGTGTGTGAGTCTGTGTGTGTGTGCGTGTGATTGCATATGTTTGTTAATGTTTTTAACCTGTTATGGGAATCTGGGGTCATTTTGTAAAGCACTTTGAATCACACTTTGTTTGAAAAGCACTTTAGAAATAAAATTTGATTGATTGATTGATTGATTAAAGAGAATGCACCAGAGCTCCAGTTGGTGGGAGCGACTGTTCTTTTCTGAACAGCAAAGACAGTTCTTTTTACATTTTTTTAACAGACTGTTTTAAAGAGAGTTCCTTTTAAAAAAAAAAATTAACAGACTGTTTTAGAATAAAACTTTTGGATCACACTTTGGTTTTAGTCTTCCTTTAACAGTGGAACTCTCATTAATGCTGGAATCAGGGAACCTGCTTGGTGACGCATTAAGTGCCAACCATAGTCTTAAGACCTGTGTTTAATGTGCCCAAGCCCATACTTTTGAGAGCACCATGTGAGCACCTGTGTGTGTACACGCGCTTGTTTATGTAAGGTTTATCTATAGGAGCGTCCAATAGAGAGTGTGAGGGACCACAGATCTGCCCCCCAAAGATGTGTAGGAGACAGGGGGAGCTCCAAGTCCTAGAGATCCAGGCGCTGCCCCAGAACACAGGAACCCCAAGGAGACTGCAACCAGAAAGGCCCCCGCCCCCCTCGACAGGCACAGAGGATCGCCCCAGGGGGCCACAACCAGCAGCCGGCAGAGTCCCGGGAGATATCAGCGGCATGCCCAAAGGCCCGCCCGCAGCCTCCCACCCCCTAGCCAGCCGAGCCCGGGACCCAGCGACCCAGGACCCAGGGGCGACCACCCCCGCCGGGGACCCAGCAGAGCCTAGGGACCCAGACCCCACCAGGCAGCCACCGGGATTGATCAGGTAGACGCCATAAATCTTAAACCCCCTGACCCGGGAGCCACTAACATTCAGGCAGACCAAGGCACCACACCCCACACCAGGTGTGGCAGGGGGAGGGGGGACAAAGATCTATATCATCAAAAGAAGTCCCAGGAGAGGGGAGGAGTCAAAGGCCCCACCTGACATATACAGTCATACACAAACACAGTCACACACTCCCTCCCTCATGCTCACACATGCACATACAACCCAAGACTTACAAAAATGCATGCTGGACACCCACTCACGCTCCCCATACACACCCTATTCACTCTGGTCCCGGTACTGCTACACATTGGGTACAACCATCATCGGTTACCAGAGTTTGACCCTTTCTGCTGGGGTGCTGATGAGCAGGCTCCCCCACCCAACGCTGAGCACAGCAACCCACCACCCCAGACCTAAACCAGACGGCCAGATCTCCCTCCTAGCCTCCAGCCCCAGGAAGCCAAGCAACAACAGAGGTGTGCTAAGACCCCTAGTCTCCCTCCACCTGCTCCAATATAGTGTTGTGTTGAGGAGGTGTATTCCATGGCTCTGGTGAGCGGGCAGTGCGGGCATCGTCTGGCCTATGCCCGCTAATGCCACCGCACCACCCCACTTGCACCCACAGCCCTCAGTGTCTAAGTGCAGTTTAAAATTGGAAGTGGGCACCGGCACTTGGGAGGAGGCTGAGAAATTCCCCTGCCAAGTGCCGTTGAATGTTCTCAGTCCCAAGGCCCTAAGTGTGTGTTTGCGTGGAATGTCGTCGGTGGAAGTGTTTAAGGTGCAAATAAAATTGGGGGGCAGGTTGCCACAGGAATGCGGAAATGGGGTCCACCCCCTCCTGGACCTCCCCCTCCCCTGTGATGGGACAGCAGAGGAGCCAAGGTCTACCCGAGGCCCCTGAGCCCAGGCCAGGCACTGCTGCCTTCTTCCCGGCAGCATACATGTCAGGACTCGACCCCCAAGGCCCCACCCAGATCCTCACACGGGGCCGGCCACCCCCACACCCCAAGCTCCCAGGCCCCCACCCAGACCCGCCCAGGGGCAATGCAGCTACCAGGCAGTGACCCATGGCCGCCGCCAAGACCTCCAAGGGGCCCCACTCACAACCGCCAGTAGTCCACCCCCGAGGTAACCCAAGCACCTCCAGAGGGGGCAACGGCCCCCCAGTCCCAGACACCCCCAGTGAACCCACCTCCAGGGAACATCCGGATTCTCCAAACTCAGACTTAGAACAGATTCCAGAGGAATACAGCATGACTGTTCATTTATTTGGCGCTGTTTCGTCCCTGAGCTGTGACTGCTTCACCCTTTGGAAGACAGCCAAAGACAATGAAGCTATGCAGCAGATGTTGTAGAGAGAACTATGAAAAAGATCAATGGAGGTATATACCTTCAGGATTAAATCCCGCTGATCATGCCTCACGTGGTTTATCGTCAGGTAAGGACTTAAAACAAAAGTGGATAGACGGTCCCAAATTTCTTTGGGAACCAGAAAGAAGTTGGCCACCAAAACCTCCAAGTTCTCAGTTATCAGCAGATGATTTAGAAATAAAACTAACGGCCCCGGCATGCGCGACTAACAACATCAGTAATGCTACATCTCGGCTAATAACTTATTATTCAGACTGGCAAAAACTAAAAGCAGCTGTTGAGAGGTTTCTTAACGTGAAAGAGATCCTACTAAAATTAAGTAAAGAAAGAAAACGAATGGAGACTCAAAGTGCACCTCTGGCAGGTGTCCCGGCTGTAAGTGTGACAGAAAGGAAGAGTTCAAAAATCACTAGGATATATCCTTAGAAGACCTTAAGGAGGCAGAAGATGCAATAATTGCCTTTTGTCAACAAGAAAGATTTCCTGAAGTAAATCAACCTTAAAGTGACCATGTGTATTTTTCCTGGCGATAGGGGGCAGTAGATACCTAAATTGTTGCAAGCAAGCTGATTTTTGTGTTTGAGTAAGACCTTACCAACGGATGCCTATTAGGGTTAAAAAGGCCCAGGGAGTGCAAACTTCAGCTAAATGACAAGCACATCAGACCCCCTTTCATCACTGGCAATGAGTGAAGAGGTAAATGTGTAAAACAACAACATTTATAAAAGGTGAAAGTTTTGTAATCATTTATCAAAAATCAGTAAATGTGTTTTGTCCTCAAGGGCTACAGTAGAAGGAAACATGGCATCTAATATGGTGACGCCCAGAGACTAGATCCGCTCCCATGTAATTCAGACCAGATTTTTATGGTTACATGTTACAAAGCCGCCAATATTTTTCAACAACTGCATCATTTGATTCATTTTCAACAATATTTTGATGGATATTTCCATAGATTAACCATATAAACAACACATTGTCACTTTAACGTCTGGTAGATCAAAGGTATGTGTAGTATACAAAAGAAGTAGCATATACAAGTTAGATTCAGTACTGCAGGATGGGTTTTTGCATGTAGGAGGCCGGTTAACCAAGCCAGCCATGCCTGAAAATGCTAAACATCCCTGTATTCTGTCAAAGGACCAACACATTTCCGACCTTATCATTCGTCATGTACACCTTCAGCTTGGGCGTGGTGGTAGAAATCATGTTCTATCAGCAAAAGGAGAAAGTATTGGCTGGCACATGGTGTTTCAGCTGTTAGAAGAGTCTTGGCTGAGTGTCTGTTTTGTAGGAAATATAGAGGGAAGCTCAAGCTACAGAAAGGGTAGTACCGGATCTACCCCCATTTACGAATGTGGGGGTGCAAAGAGGATGCAGTGTAATCAAACGCTATGGGGTTACATATTTACATGCATGACAAGCAGAGCAGTGCACTTAGAAGTGGCTTATTCCTTAAAGAGCAAGTCACCCCTTACAAGAAGCGTACTTCACTCCCACTTCATGTTTGAAAAATGCAACAAATGCTGTTGCCTAGCAGACCGAGAGGGTGGAGCCACTAACAAATACACACACTCACGACATTGTGACATCATAATGTACCAGTTTACATCATAGCATACCTCTTAGCCAATAGCGGTGGCAGATTTAAATTCAAATGCAGTGAAGAGTTTTTACCTGACAACGGCACAACACTGACAGTTTCAGGCAGAAATTTTAAATTTTAACAAAAATGCACTAAAGTGCAAAACTATTGACTACACGTGTCTGCAGCATGATTAGACACGCATTTATATAGTTTATCAGAAAAATATAGTTGATTTGGGGATGACTTGCTCTTTAAAGAGCAAGTCACCCCCTACCAGAGTCTAACTCCACTCCCACTTCATGTTTGAAAAATGCAACACATGCTGTTGCCTGGCAGACCGAGAGGGCGGAGCCGCTAACAAATACACACACACACAGGCTCACGACAGCATTGTGACATCATACTGTACCAGTTTACATCATAGCATACCACTTAGCCAATAGCGGTGGCAGATTTAAATTCAAATACAGCGCAGAGTTTTTACCTGACAACAGCACAACACTGACAGTTTTAGGCAGAATATTTAAATTTTAACTAAGATGCACCGAAGTGCCAAATTATTGACGACACGTGTCTGCAGCACGATTAGACACTCGTTTATTTAGTTTATCAGCAAAAAAAGTTGATTTGGGGGTGACTTGCTCTTTAAGCACTGCTTTCTGCATTAACAAACTCTGAAGATTTATAGCGTGGAGAAGACAAGCACTGCACATCAGATCAGACAACGGCACCAACTTCGTAGGAGCAGAAAGGGAGCTAAGGGAGGCCATAGGCACTCTAAACAAAAAAATGATCGAAAGGGAAAATGACCCGGGGGATAAAGTGGTCTTTTAATCCTCCTGCAGCATCACATTTCGGTGGAGTTCGGGAACGCATAACGCTAATAATTCCCTTAAATGCAATGTGTTTATGAACACACAGACTTCCATACGTTCTGCACATCTCCTGTGATTTAGTTTCAACTGTTCACCCTCTGCAGATTCAGCTTTCTCCCACCGAGTAATGATGCTGGTGTTTTGTGCAGCCCCTCTCCCTCTTGCTCCGTGCTGACTGCGTACACTGTGGGTGTGACCTCTAATGACCTCAGATCCACTGATGGAGAATCAAAAATGCAGAGAAAAATTATATACCTCCAACCTTCTTCTAATATCGTCAACAAAAATATGCAGCAAAGCATCATTTTACCTGCAGTTATACATTGGTGAAGCAACGCCTAACTTCAATAAATGGAGAAAGCAGGAACAAATGTGATTTCTGTTAAAAAAAACATTTTTAGGTGTGCACAATCCTGTAACGAGTCAGCGGGCTTATATATAGGACTCCAGGTAGTCGCTGTGCTGTTTGGTGTCATGGTGTGTGACAGGGAAAAAGTGGATTTCGTTGTCATTACTGCTTAAAAACATAACTGCCTCCTTTTCAAATGAAAACACCTGTTGCTTCATTAAAACGCTAGTGTTATGTTTTTACTAGCTTTCCCGTCTCAACAGGGAGGAGAACGACCTTCCTCAGATCGTGCTGCTCTGTGTTATGGTTACACTCCCATGAGAAATAGCACGTTGACTGAAGGCACCTGGGTTTGTGTGGGTGAAGAGATGACATTGTTTTTACTCCTTACGTGAAACTGCTTTCCACCTGAACCTACGGAGCAGTTAAGACTGTGGTGTGATATGCTTTGTGTGTGTGTGTGTAGTTAGCTAATAAATACTCTCAGAGGGCATACGTTTGCTGAGAGGTCTGGTGAACCATGCTTGGGTGTGTATTATTTCATCTCTCCACTTTGCAAAGTAAATTTGAACAATAATATAGCTTTAATTCTCTGTCCTCCTGTGCATTTGATTTCTCTTAAGGTGAACTGGTTTTAATAAATAAATAACCCAACAGTGTGTACCACACTCAACATGGACCATAGGAAGTAAAGGAATAGTTTTCTCAGGATATAAGAAAGAAAACTTTAGACAAGCAAAAGACTATACGACCATCTCCAAGCAGCTAGATGTTCCTGTGACTATAGTTGCACATATTGTTCAGAAATCTCAGATCCACGGGACTAGCCAACCTCCCTGAATTTGGTCGCAGGAGGAAAACTGATGACAAATCAAAGAGACAGATAATCCAAATGGTAACAAAAGAGCCCAGAAAAACTTCTACAGAGATCCAAAATAAACTTTAAGCTCAAGGACCATCAGGGTCAGATCGCACCGTGATCAGTCGTGGTTTGATCCAATGAGAGACGACCAAGGATGACACCATTGCTGAAAACAAATCATAAGAAGACTGGAATATGGCAAACTACATGTTGACAAGCCACAAAGCTTCTGGGAGAAGGTCCCATGGACAGATAAGACAGAAATGGAACTTTTTGCCGAGGCTCATCAGCTCGATGTTCACAGACAGAAAAGTGATGCATATCAAGAAAAGAACACTGTTCCTACTGTGAAACACGGAGGAGGCGCTGTTATGTTCTGGGGCTTGTTTGCTGCATCTGGCACAGGATGTCATGAAGCTGTGCTGGGTACAATGTCATCTCAAGACTATCAAGGCATTCTAGAGAGTAATGTGCTGGCCAGTGTCAGAAATCGTGGTCTCAGTCACAGTTCATGTGTCTTCTGCAACATGACAATGACCCAAAACACACAGCTACTAACACCCAAGAACGACAAGTCAGCCAAGGTTGGAAAACACTGGTTTCGCTTAGTGTTTCACCACCTGCTGAATGAGTGAGTGATTAACCTGTATCTGCAGCAATTGATGACCTCTTGAGGAGCCAATGTAAATCAGGTGTGCTGAAGCAGAGACATGCAAAACATGTGGTCCTTTTAGCGAACAGCTACAGAAGAAACAGGATCATCAGCTGTTTCAAGTCAAACCTCACATCACATCCAGATCAGAAGCAGCTTTGGACGTCATATTTTCTAACCCAGAAAGGGGCAGAGACTTCTGTCCTGTAGGACTCTGTGCTGTTCAGACTGGAGCAAAAACAGCAGATCCGGTCTGTCTCAGTGTTTTAGTCTGTTTTATGAAACAGGCTGGGAGGTTTACGGATGTTTAACATGAACAATGATCCAGTAGAAATGTTTAAGCTGTCTAAACTGAATAGACAGATGGTTACATGCGACCTCTAACCGTTTCTAAGCGAGCTGAAGAGCACCAGTCCTGGGCGTGTGGTCTCTGCTCGGTTTACCTGACAGCGAGGCACACAGCAACACCAGAACATTCTCCTCCTGCTGATCCCGCTGGTTGGGAGAACTGCTGGCAGGGGCTGAAGGTGAGGAGGATCGGGGTGCTGTCCGTGTCCACGGGTCTCAGGCGGTCCATGAAACCATCAGCATCTCCCATGGCCTTCAGGTCGATCACTCCGCTGCCGTCCTTCATGATGCATTTGCAGCTGTTGACTTTGAAGCAGCCTTCTTGAGCAGAGACCATAGAGGACAACAGTCTGAACCATAACAACATGGAGAGGAAGACCATCGTCATGGTGACCGGGTGCTGCTGAGACCATGGAAGGGTTCTGAGGGATCCCAACAGCAGCTGACAGAACAGTGACAGTTAGAAACCACTTAGCATCATTCTGATCATTCCACTGAGCTCAGATTATCTCGCAGCAGGAGGCCACGCCCCTCCAGGGAACAAACACCAGAAATAATACCTGTAAACCTGAGCCACGGGTTGTGATTAGAGACCAAACCACCAGCCGTGGAATGATGCAACGTTTGACCAGTCCAGTAAAAACTAAATCTGTGTTCTTGCTCTGCTCTGATGTTCATCTGAAACAAGGAGGCCGTTTTATCATCTAAAGTTTGAGTTTCTGAAATGAAGAATGAGCAGGAGTGAAAACTCAGAGCCTAACAGCTTCTGTTTGAGCAGAAACCCAACATCTAGTGGAGAAGCTGCTGGTTTGTAGGATTAAACTTGCCTCATAGCTGGGTTTGACCCCAGTGGGTTTGTTACGAAAGGCGGTTAAACACCATTCATGCCATCAGCCATGACCATCGCCACTCCCTGATGATGTAGTCATCTCAACTTTCCAAATGAAAAACCAGTTGTGATGAAGGACCATGCTGGAATCTATTATGGTTAATCTTCCAATAACATCCATGTTCCCTAGCAACCTTCAGTCTATGTCCTGAATATTCTACGTTTAGAAACAACCTTTACAGTTCTGAGGGGTAATCATGCAAGGTAGAAAAAGGCTTCAACACCAACCCAGACTGTTGAGCAGTCCCGATACTCCCAGGCCTTCTAATCCAGTGTTTTTATTGGATTAGCCATGCCGCTTGGTCAGAATCCTCTTTTGACATTTTAACATTCTGATTATATACAGAAATGTTTTCCAAAATCACATCAAGACAGTGCAGCCTAGAACTAAAACAAATGACTATAACCAGCAAATCCAGGACCAGCCCGTATTTCAGAACCCTTGACTGGTTCTCAGAAAACTGACGCTCGTTCTGTGCGGGTTATCAAATCTCATTTGGTTCTTTTTGGCCAACAGTGTAATAGCAATGTAGTATTTTCTACATTTTGCTGACGAGTCTCAGTAAAGGTAGAAACAGATCTTTATTAGCGTGCCAAAAAGAACCAAATACCATGATTACTGATGTCGTTAATACGGCAGCAATAACTCCAGGAGGGATTTTAGCAAACCGATAACTTGTTATAAGAACTTTTTAGAAGGTTTAGGACACAACGTGATTAATCCTAGTTTCATTCTAGTTGCTGTGTCCAACACAAAAGACAGCAGGCGGGTTTTACATTTTATTAAGCCAACAGAAAAAGTATTCAGGCTTTTACAGCAAATTTGCGAACAGAGTAGAGGAGGTCTTTTCTCTGCTGCTTCTTGGTGCGCAGACTCTCCTCGTGCTTGTTGAGCCGACGGCGCATCGCTCGGGTCTTCTTGGGTCTCAGATCCAAGGGCTTGTACTTCTTACCCTGGAAGAGAAGCCACAGGTGTGTTAATGTCCCACCAAGATCCACAGAACAGTCTCCTCTAGCCCTAACCCCTTCAGACCAACAGAATCCAAGGCATCAGAGGTTAACCAGCAGTGGCCCGGCCTACAGGTGAACCAGTCTCTACACCAGAGGCTCCCAAGCTTCTGCAGAAGAACTTCTGGTGAACAGACTTCACTTCATACCCTCACAGACGGGTCTCACCTTGTAGAACTTCCTCAGGTTCTCCTTCTGTGTTTGGTTGATGACGGTCAGGACTCTGGCGATGGACTTGCGAACGACGCGGCTGTGGAACAGAGAAGAGTTCAGCTGAGTGAAACAAGCTCAGGGGTCTCATTTATCAAGCTTGCTTACGCACAAAACGGAGTTGGAAAACTGCGTAAGCCACTTTCCACGCAAACGTTGGGATTTATGAAAGAAAACTTAGCAGAAAAATGTGCACAACTTTAAGTTGACTAAGGACCTGGCTTACGCACATGTTGGACATGGAGAGCACCTGCAGTGCTGCTGCTGAGAAGACACAATTATGAAATCCTGCGGCATTATCACTTGTACCGCTTCGTTTTCACACAGAACAAGACCCCCACACACAGCCTGAAGCGCAGAATACAGAAAATCAGCAGGGGGACAGACTGAGACAGAATGTCATGCGTCTGTGACCCAATAGATCATGCGCCCTGGCTAGTTGGACAGGGGAGATCTCCGTTTGGATGGCTGGTTAGCGCGCGTGACTTTCATCCGGGAGTCTGGGAATCGAATCCTGATTGGACCATTTTTTTTAATATCCGCCACAGATCTCTCTGAAGAACTCAGCATTGACGGCTTCAGCAACGCTGTGCCACTCGGTGGATTTTCTCTTGGTTTTTTTTTGCAAAAGCACTTCCTTTTATTTCTCCACATCACCCACAGGTACATCAACTTCTGCTTGTGAAATTGCGCTTCCTTGATCTGCCTTGATCTACGGTCGCCATGTCATTGGCGGAGCGCTGCAACAGCTGGCTTATGTTTATGCATGAGGTCCATGAGGCACTTTGTATTGACCATTTATGGCAGTAAGTGGGCGTGGTGAGGGCGGGATGTGACTAAAAAGCAGCTGAGAAACATTCTCGTTAGTCAACGATTTATGAAGCGGAGTGCGTGCAGCTGTGCGTACTCCATGTTTGATAGATCATAAAACTGCTTGGCGTAAGTACTTTTTTTTTGCTGAGCTTAAGTAGGTTTTAGTAAGGATTCTACACAATGTTTGATAAATGAGACCCCTGCTCTTTACGTTTATGGACACACGATTTTAGATCATCACTTCTCTCTGTAACAACAGTTAGGAACGAGATTGCCGCCTGCCTGAGCCCTCTCTAACTCAGGTCGGACTATCCTGGAGGTTTCTTCTTTTTTAAAGGTGTTTTCTACCCACTGTCGCCCTCTGATCACTCCCTTTGGTTCACGATTTTAGATGTACTCGGTTCGATTCCTGTTTTCTGTTCAGATCAGTAGAATCACCCAGAAATACATCATTATTGACGTTAAACCGGTGGTTGTGTGGAACCAGTACGTTTTATAATCGGTTTTCTGAATCATCTGGTGTCTAAACCAACTGCTGAGGTCTTTTAAAGAGCAGAAACACGAAGTGATGTCAGACTAGCCGTTAGCTCATCCATCAGAACAAACCTTAGGCTACGTTCACACTGCAGGCTAAAGCGTGTTAAATCCGCTCTTTTCCCCACGTGCGAGCCATATCTGATGTTTCTATGATGGTCTGAACACACAGATCCATTTTTTATGCGATCCGTGTCACTTGAATATGTGGTACTAATTCTGACACACAGCTGATGTTTTTTTAAAGCGACTGCAGTCTGAACGGTCATGTCGCATTAAATCTGTCTCCTACGTCACCGAGTCAGCGGAGGTGAGCGTTGTGCGTGGATGTTCCTGGAGAGAAGCGCTGACAGAATGGTTCAGGAGTCTGTCTGGACTTCCTGTTTTAAGTTTAGGAATTAAAAATGGGGAAATAATGTGAACGGGAGGTGGAGGTGCTGCTGGGGCGAAGCGTCTCACTGGTCTCCATCTCCGTGAGAGGGGGATTTTCCATGAATAATAATTCAGGGAGACGGCGGGAACAAGGAGATTAACGGTTTCCAGTCCAAAACGGAAGAAAGTTTTCACTGATGGTTTATCCACAGGATCAGGATTATGTCAGTTTCGGCAAGTGTGGCTTCTTGTCTTCTGCACATGCGGGTCGCTTTGGTACCGAGGAGCGCTCACAGTGGAGAGTTTGACTGAAATGTGACACCATAGCGTGAACAGCCACACAAAAAAATTCAGATTCACTCAAAAAACTGGAATTCAGCATCAAGGCCTCTAGTGTGAATGTAGTTTGTCTCCAAACTGAGGCTGCTCAGTGATACAGCCACCAGTGGAGTCTCAGATCATTTAACCAGTTACAGCTTTGGTCTCAATGAGCTACAAACCCATCAGTCAAACAAGCTGTTTAATGGTGGACAACAATTCTAAAATCATCATATTGTTGACTTTAAAAATATATATTTATATGTTTGGACTTTATTATATAAACCACTTTGTTAACTCAGTTACGGCCATTGGCAACGAAGGTCGGTAACTGAACTTTTTACCGTAAAAATAAACATCATGGCTCTAAAGCTGATCTTCATCTGCGTGTGTCACGCATCACGTGATCAGGGAGCAGAACATCCACGAAAACCCAAAGAAGCCACATCAGAAAATGACAAAGGGGAGCAAAGTGACAGGACTAAAATGTGTTTTAGAACATCAAGAAAAACAACTGAAGATACATTCAGTTTTACAATCACACCCAGGGAAAGGGGCTCATGTGGTCGTCGTTTTTACTTTTGACTAAAACACTGCAAGAAACGCAACTTTTCTAATCCCAGGTTAGAGGAACGTCCTAAACGGGATTACCTGCCCATCTAACCAGGTGAGTCGATGGTCATTTACAACAACCTGACCATGGTTGAAGGACTGTTACGACACTGAGGGCACATGGCCCTTAAAGATTGGCTTGTAGTTAACTTTGTTGTTTTGATGTTTGATGCATTCTTCTATACTCGTTTAGTCTGGTCTCACATGTTTTGACTCGGAACAGAACCGAAGAGCCGCTGAACCCCGTTCTTTTCCCGGTTGCATAAAGCTGGTCTCTTTCAGCAGCCCGTTTGAACACTCACATCTTGGACAGCTTGGATGCGGCTCCTCCGGTAACTTTGGCCACCCGGAGCTGAGACAGCTCGTTCTTCAGGTCGTCCAGCTGCTTCAGCAGCTCCTCCTTCTTCTTACCCCGCAGGTCTCTAGCCTTGATTTTAGCCTGGACGCACACAATCAGACATGTTGGGTTAAATGCTCACGGGCCGTAGCTAGCGAGGAATGAAGCAGCTTTGTAACTATCATGATACAGTATACAACAAACGGATACAGCTTCCGTTTGCACCTAAATGTAATCAACTAAAAGACCAAACGAACGAAGGTAACACTCCACAGAGTTTGCAGGCCGACACTGAATCACACAAGCACCAGCTGGTTGGGTCCAACTATCTGATCCTAAATTTAAACAAGAACAGAAGCTTTAGCTAGCCTAATTAGCTGTTAGCATAACGGCTTAACCGAGCTGCTCGGAGGTAGCGCTCCACTATTTGGTATTTTATTCAATTTCCGGTTCAACAAACATTTGAACACTCACACGGACAAGTACTCGTCAACCTTATGCGCACGAGAAACTCAAACTAGGATGTTTCGTAGCGTTTGAACAATCAATCTTCACGGTTTGATGCAGAGTGTGTAACACTCACCATGTTCCTCGTCGCTGCCCTGCTGGAAAGGCCGGACGCACCGCGTGCTCACAAAAAGCAGCTTCCGGAAAGAAAAAAAGCTTTAGAGCGCCCCCAGTGGCGGGAAGCGTTTAGAACACACAGCGCCCCCTGGTGGCTGACTGAATCAACAATCCAGAATGAAGGCATCTGTTCATTAACTAAAGTGTCGTAAAACCAAGACCGATTTGTGGAGATCCTTTATCGTCATCACAGATTATTTTCTTCTCATAATTATTTTTGTCGCGGAGGCAACGGTTGCACCGGAGTCAAGTGTACACCTCGTAATCAGAATTTTTGCAGGTTTGAGCCCCGCTCAGTCTGTTGCTGTCGTTGTGTTCTTGGGCAAGAAACCTAACCCACCATGCCTGCTCGTGGTGGTCGGAGGGACCGGTGACACCTGTGTACAGCTGCCTCTCCTCTGTCAGTGTGCCTCAGGGGAGCTGTGGCTACAATGTAGCTCATCACCATCAGGGTGTGAATGGGTGTGTGAATGGGTGAATGACTGATTGTGTTGTAAAGTGCCTTGGGGGTTCCAATATCCTAGAAGGTGCTACATCAAATACAGGCCATTTACCATTGTTAATTGTGCTACAATTGTTAAAAGACGGCAGTTAGAATTGGAGCAATAATGTACTCGTTTCCCGAGAATGCTGCATTTCAACTTTTCTTTCTTTCAGAATAATTTCTGTTTATACAACAAGCTTCCCCCACATATAAGGCATGTTTAGAGACAGAAAACAGTTTAATGACTTCAGATTTATGTGGGAAAGGAAGTGACCATGACTTCAGAAATTATGACATCATATAAAAGCAGTCATGATTGTTCATTGAAACTCTTAAAAACAGTCAATTCAAGAAGGTTAAAAGGTGATTCCATCAGTTCTGTGGTTTCCATGGAGACCATCTTCCAGGCGACTGCATCAGTGTGCTGATGGATGAATAATGATACAATCGTGTTTTCCCACACCCAGAACTAAAAGTAGGAAAAATATAAACCACCAGGAAAGAAACCGTGTTAAATACAGCAGTCAGGCCTGAGGACCAGCGGATCTCTGGTTCAGATAAATACTGCAAACTGATCAAACCATTTACAACCGCCGGTTCATAAAGATGTAATTCACTTTGTACACATTTATACATAGGTACATAAGGAATGCAGTTTTATTTACATTAGTAAAGGCAGGTAGAGGTGGGAGTGTCTCTCCATCGTTAGACACGCTTAAAGAGTCACACAGAGCGGTTACAGACCCAACCCTCTCACAAAGATCTGATTCATCAGTTTCCATCTGGTAAGAGAGGCGTTCCTTGTTCCTAAATGACTGAACATCTCCAGCAAATCCTTTCCCCAGTTCCTTTTCAGGTTAGAAGTTAAAAACATTTGGATCATAAACAAAGACCTGACAGGATTTGTTGTTGCTTAAAACGACGGTTCGGATCTGCTGGCCCCAGCTGCTGTCAAGACGCTCAGACCCGAGCTCCTCTGCAGACCCGAACACCTAAAGAAGCCCTCGCTGGTCCGGGTCAGAACTCAGGATCCAGTCATGTTGATGCTCAGTCACTCTACTCTGTTTTCAACAAGCAGGTCAGACCACAGCTCCGCGTCGGACGCAAAACTTGTTTAAAAAATAAATAAATCAGGTGATTCTGAAGTTTCCTTCTCTGAACAGATCCACCATTCCTCCCACAGACAGAGCCAGAGGAAACCAGTAGAGCTTCTGTCCTGATCAAATCCCAGTCACAGAAAAAGGAGCTGGAGCTTCGTCTCCTCCCTCGCCACCAGAGCGCTCTGCTGCACATCAGCTCCAGTGAGTGGAAGCACCTGAGATGGAAGGTCTGATGATGCCTTTTGGAGAAGGTTTGGAACCAAACCAGGACATCTGAAACAGAACATGGTGGGCATGAAACAACAAGCCTGCTGTGACCACACAACCCACCAGGGTGCTGGTCTGAATGGTTTGTTTGAATGTTTCTTCAGAGCATCGATGAGCAGCTTGGAACAGATGCATCCAGAACCAGGTGAGGTGAGAGGGAATCATCTGGACCAATGAGCTGCAGTCTGGACCTACTGCATGTGAAACACCAACCTTGTACTCCAGAGTCTGCTTCAGCATCTCTTCTTCCTCGCGTGTGAAGCTGAGCAGCACAGAAACGGCTCGTATCAGCTGGTAGGCCTGAGAACACCAAACACACAGGTTTAGTTTGGGTTTGGACCACCTCTGATGTCTGAAAGCACCGCTGACCCACCTCAGCATCTCTGGAGGACATGAACTTCAGGACGACGTGTTTGAGATACTCAAAGTTGATTTCTCTGGAGTCGTTGAGGTCCGAAGTGTTGGTCACGGTGGTCCTGGAGGTCGGGGGACTTGGAGCAGGTGTTGAGGGTGGTTCTGGACAAACAGGCTCTGGCTTCTCCTTCCCTTCAGCTTCCACCTCAGGTTTTAGTTTCTTCGACACAAAGGACAGAGACATCATCAAAGTCCAAAGGACTGTGTGTGTGCGTCCTGAGGAGTAAAGGTTCTAACCAGTTCTTTCTGGAGCGTTCTCCTCATCTCTGCTAGTCTCTGCTGCAGCTGCTTGATGGTCTGAAACACAACACACGTTCTATTGGTTGCTGCCGTTTCATCAGGCTGGACTCTGAGCTACCAGAACACTGTCTGACCCGGTTCTTGTCACCGAGCTGCTGCTCCAGATCTCTGTTGATCCTCTGAATATGATCCAGGTCATCTACAGTCACGCTGCCATTCTGATCCTCCTCACAGACCTCAGGGGTCTGAAGCTGCTCGGTCAAGGTCTCCACCTCCACCTCCAGGTAGGAGATCTGGACCACAAACGCAAACAGAATTTCTGTTATTCCATCACATTCAAATGGCTTTAAATGTGCATTCATATGCAGATGACCTGCAGGTGTGCATGTCGATACCTGTTAACGGTGGCTGTCTCTCTCAGGATTTATTAGACCTAAAGATCTACCGGCATGGTTTGACACAAACTTTCTTAAATTGAACGAAAGGAAATGGGAGATCATGGTTTTTGGCTCCTCTACTGCACTAACCAAACCAAAACTGTAGCTTCGGAGACCTTCCCTCTTATTGTCATTGCAGTCAGGAACCTGGGGGATTCAAACCTAACTTTGTGGATGAGATCAGTGCAGCGGTGAAGTCTTGTTTCTTCCAGCTGAGGCTGCTCAGTAGGATTGAGGATGTTTTTGCTTCTTTTATCCGTGTCGTGATTACTTCGAGGCTGGACTATTGTAATGTGTTATAATGTGGCAGCAGGCCTTCTCACCGGGGCAGGAAAATATGATCATATCCCCCCGTGCTGGCAGATCTTCACTGGCTTCCGGTTAACTTTAGGAGTGACTAGAAGATGCTGCTGCTAGTTTTTAAACGTTTGCATGGTTTAGCTCCCTCTCTGTGTGACCCGATCGAGCCGTTTGTCCCGTCCAGGAGGCTTAGATCAGCAAATCTTCGCCTATCAATGACACGCAGATGGTGCTAGAGTAGGGATGTCAAACATACGGCCCGCGGGCCAGATCCGGCCCGCAAACGGGTTAACTCCGGCCCGCGAGATGGTTGTGTGAACTTTATTTTCATACTTTACAATGTAGAGTGAAAATAAACTTATCTTTGTGAGCAAGTTTCCTCTGTAATGAGTATAAATAAAACAAAGCTGCGCTCAAGGCTCACACAAGAACTTGAATCACATCCTGAAGTTGGCCGCCACTCAGGATGTGACTTCTGATATTGATGTGCTGGTGAAAGCTAAAAGATGTAAAGTAAAATGAGTCAAATATATTTTAAGTGCTGCATGGAACTGATCTAGCCATGTGATCTGTAAGCTCTTTGAATCACTAAGGAATGTTTTTTATTGATTTTTTTTTATTTTATTTTTTTCAAATTTTCAAGTACACTTCAGGTGTTGTACTTGTACTATTTTGGATACACTGTCCTCAGGCTCCAGCCTTGTTTCATATTGATTGTATTAAAACAAAGAAAACAATCTGAAGTTGTTTTTTATTTACCGGTCCGGCCCACTTGGGACTAGATTTCCCTCAATGTGGCCCCTGAGCTAAAATGAGTTTGACACCCCTGTTCTAGAGCCTTCTCTGCAATTGCTCGTGTCCTGTGGAATAGTCTTCCCTTGGATGTGCAGACAGCTGATTACTCGTTCTCTTTTAAAGTACGTCTAAGAACACGTCTGTATGCTTCGGCATTTCAGTGATGACTCGAGGCTGCAGGCTTTCTTCTTCCTTTTTTTTTGTTGTTTTTAATCCTTTTAAATTATTCAATTATTCCATGAGCATAACTGATGTTTGAAATTTGTAATTTATGCATTTTGTCTTGGTTGTTTGTGATTTTAACTTTCTAATATTTAGTTAGCTTTTATGATTTTAATTTTTATTTTTTCTGCCAATGTTCAGTGCTCTGGGGCAACGGCCGTTGCACTTATATGTGCTATACAAACAAACTTGGACTTGACTTAAACATCTGCTTCTAGAGAGTTTACAAGGTGTGCTGACCCGCGCCTGGCAGCTGTCCACCTGTTGGGTCTGGACCAGCAGCTCCTCCCTCACACTCCTCAGCTGAGAGTCTTTGTGCACCTCCATCTGCTGCAGCTGGTCTCTCACACACTGCGTCTCCTCCTGCAGCGACAGCAGACGGTCCTGCTGACACCGCACCTCTACACACACACACACACACACACACACACACACACACGCACGCACGCACGCACGCACGCACACACGCACGCACGCACGCACGCACGCACACACGCACACGCACACACACGCACACACACACACACACACACACACACACACACGCACACACACACACACACACACACACACACACACACACACGCACACACACACACTTAATGATTGAACAAATGAGCTACATTATTTAATGTCGTTCTGCTTGAGCAGGATTCAAACATTTGAGACTCAGATCAGAAGGAGCCAGCTGCAGCGTGTGTGTGTGAGTGTGTGTGTGAGTGTGTGTGTGAGTGTGTGCGTGCGCGCGCACGCTTACCATCCTGAAGCGTTCCGACGTCCTCCTCCCTCAGTGATAGCTTCTTACTGATGGTAAACACTTCCTGGTTTGAGTTCCTCAGAGCATCATTCAGCTCTCCAACCTGAGATCAAGAGAGTGGATGGTGTAAGGACTAGGGGTTGCAACGATTAGGAACGTTGGTGCTATGATTAGTCTGAGAAATAATCACTATTACCATCATTATTTTGCATGAATGCTGTATAAGTAAGTCACAAACACATTCTATAAAGGTTTTAAGACTGCTAAATTCAAACGAACAGACTTCAACCACAAGTGTCTAAAGATTCATTAGGAGGTGTCCAGCAGACAGGTGACTATAAAAGGACATTACGTAACAAAGAAAAGCACTTCCTGTTTCATGCTGTCAGCAACGGCTCCACATGGAAGAGAAATCTGAGAAAGGAATTCATTTCTTTACACAAAAAGGTGAGGGCTACAAGAAGATCAGCAGAGCTTTCATATCAATCAGAATACTGAAGCAAAAGTGATCCAATCATTTAAGAAAGATGGAAGTACAACCATCTTACAGAGAGGTCCAGGCCGTCCACAGAAGTTAACATCTCTACAGGAGCATGTTCTGATGAGAAGGGCTGAAGAAAATCACCATGCAAGTTCACTGCAGTTAGCTAAAGCAGTAGAAAGCCAAACTGGAGAGACCATTCCCGTGACACCATACGGAGCACTCTGCAGAGGAATGGCGTGCATGGGTATCGTCCATGAAGGAAGCCTCTCCTAAAGCCCATGCACATAAAAGCACACCGAGGATTAGCCAGGGTCCATGCTGGAAGAGAAGAAGACTACTGGGGCTCTAGACTCTGGAGTGACGAGACAAAGATCACGGTTTCTGGGACTAAAGCTACTGTTGTATTTCTGAAGAAGAACAGGGTGAAGGTGACTGAATGACCAAGTATGTCTCCTGATCGGAACCCAATCCAACACCTGTGGGGAATTCTGAAGCAGCAAGTTGAGCATCAGTCTCCATCCAGGCTCTAAAAGACGTTCTTGAAGAATGGAGGAAGATAGATGTTGCATCATGTCGCCAACTTGTTCGTTCCATGCCTAGAAGACTTGGTGCTGTCCTTGAAAATCACAGTTGTCATACAAAACACTAGATGTAGTAGTTTCTGTTGTGGGGTGTTTTCATTTTTGCTTCAACCAGTTTTAGGGTTTTGTGATCTAACTTCTATTATTAACCTCAATTTCATGTTATGGAGTTAAACAAGCGTTCAGTAAAAGCCAGCCTTGGGAAAATTCTGGAAATTGTACTTTTGTTCATGAGCTACTGACTAAATTCATACTTTTTAAAGGAGGTGTACTCATTTATGCTGAGCACTGTATTTAATGCTACTTTTCAGAAATTCTGCTTAGAAATTTTAATTATTAAACTCAAAGTAAATGTGTAATCTTTAATTACAGTATAAAACTTTTAAAATACCCTCAATAAGATTAGCATATTAGTCTGTTTTACATTCCTGTAAAAAGACTAAAAGGTTTCGCTGCAGACAGCTGCTCAGCTACCACACATGGTGTCTATCTGGTGGTGAATGTGGGAAAAAACACGTTCAAAATCTCAGACAATCACAATATCGTGAAAAGGATCAATATTCTAGACTCTGATCAGCTGATGAATCCAGAACACCTGCAGAGGCTTCCTGAGCCTTTAGATGGTCTCTCAGTCTGAGCTGGATGGATTATTGACATAAATGGACTTTTGCACCAGATTCTGGTTTTTACTAGAGGTGTGAATCTTCACTTGTCTCCCGATTCGATTACGATTATTGGGTCAACAATTCAATTCGATTCGATACCCCGAAGCATCACGATTATTTCATATTGATCTGTTTTCATCGATAAATAGAAGATATCAGATAATTGCTTTTTTTTATATATCAAAAAGGTAATTGACACAACCTGCCATCCCTCAAAAGCTCTCCATTCACAACAGGTTAGGACGAAACATTTTAAACATTTAAGAAGATTTAACAAAGTAAAACATCTGTTTGCTCGTTCAACACCACGCCTCAGGCTGAGAAAAACACGCTTTGCAAAAACTCACAAAATCTAAAAAAGTACTGAAAACCTATAATGTAATAATAAAATACATAATGGGTTCATATTTGAGTGTTTCATGTCTCTGAGCAGCTCTAGAGTCCAATATTTATGCCGCAGTTGAAGGGTGTCAGAAATAACACCAAATGAAATGTTTAACTTAGTTTATTTTATTTGAACCCAGTGGTTCGTTTCTGAAATGTTGGAGAATGAATCAAGTTCTGTTTGATGCAGAAAATAATAAAACAAATTCTACACTTCCAAATATATTTAAGATGTGTGTTTTATTCTTTCTGATAATAACACCAGCAGAAGGCTGTGGGCTGGATTAGGATTAAATTACCCAGTTGATGGATCTCCTTCACTAACCAGCTAACTACAAACCTTTCCACTAACCTGGGACCCACACCCTCATGTCCATGCTGTCTCTGGAGGAGCAGATAGGAGACAAGACCTCCTGTAACTTAAAAGGAACCAAAGCTTCCTCCCAGTTTCTCTTTAAGCTGATTCTAACATCAGTTTAGCATCATGAAACAAAAGAATAAAGTGGAACAAGAACTTCTATCTTCTATCTCTCTCTCCTTTTAACTTCTCCGTGTTCCTAAATAAAAGATGATTATGCTGCAGCCGCCGTCACTGACTCCGCCCCCTCCCCAAGACCGGATCTCCCTACAATACAACAAGCAGTCTGACTGAGCGCTTCCAGGAGAAATAATAATTAAATTATGAAAATAATAACGCGTGCTTGGAGGAGTCTCTCAGAGCCCTGCACTGAAGCCCTAGGTCCTCGGGTCGGCCCGGTCCGACGGCCCTCGGGCCAGGCCAATGGCGTGTAATTACCTCGGACACGGGCCGGGCGCCTTTATTTTTAATCGAATTCATTAAAAAAATTGAAACACTAAATCACTCAAGAAAAGATTCCCATCTGAACATCTGAGCTGGACACTGCTCAGCGCAGCTCACTGTCAGCGCGTACATAAGGTCCACAGCGAGCTGAAGATGTGGAGAGGGGCTTGGAGCGCGTCGCAGAACCAGAGCGAATGCGGGAAGATTCCTCCCACTGAAGCGAGTGTTTTCCAAACCCGGTCTCTCAGAGAGACTTGTCACTTAGAAAATGTTCCCTGATGATGAAACTTTGGCTGAATAGTGCTTGTTCCTGTCTCCAATGTGGCGACACATCCAGGAGCCGTCTGAGGAGAATCCCAGAATCTCACATCCTCTTCAGCTCAGAAAGCGCCGATATGATTACGCACAAGCGTGACGCGTCAACCCGGTCTCACAGTAAGACCGGGTTGGGCCTGTTCAGGTTTACACAGACAATCTTTACATAGAATTGACTTACAGATATAAAATTAATGCAGTAAAATATAAAGCATTTTATTTAAATATCCATTCATTATTTTACAAGCACAGTGTATGCGCCTGCCTGTCTGTCTGCTCTGTCTTCTCCATCCCCAGTGAGTCGTGGAGGATGGCTGCTTATACTGAGCCAGGATTCTCTGGAGGTTTCTTCCTGTTAAAAGGGAGTTTTCCTCCCCACTGTCCCTGCATGCTTGCTTAGTATGAGGATTACTGTAAAGTCACCGACACTAGTCAGGGACTCGAAGAAACCTGCTGGGTTCCTTAAATAGGAAACTTTTTTCTGATTGGCTTAATGACCTGACCAGAAAAGGGGCCTCATGTATCAAGCTTGCTTACGCACAAAATGGGGTCGGAAAACTGCGTAAGCCACTTTCCACACAAACGTTGGGATTTATGAAAGAAAACTTAGCGGAAAAATGTGCACAACTTTAAGTTGGCTAAGGACCTGGCTTACACACATGTTGGACATGGAGAGCACCTGCAGTGCTGCTGCTGAGAAGACACAATTATGAAATCCTGCAGCATTATCACTTGTACCGCTTCGTTTTCACACAGAACAAGACCCCCACACGCACACACACACACACACACACACACACACACACACACACACACACACACACACACAGACACTCACACAGCCTGAAGCGCAGAACACGGAATGCAGAATATCAGCAGGGGGACAGATTGAGACAGAACGTCATGCGTCTGTGACCCAATTGATCATACGCCCTGGCTAGTTGTACAGGGGAGATCTCCATTTGGCTGACTGGTTAGCGTGCGTGACTTTTACCCGGGAGTCTGGGGATCGAATTCTGATTGGACCATTTTTTATATCCACCACAGATCTCTCTGAAGAATTCACAACATTGACGGCTTCAGCAACGCTGTGTCATTCTGTGGATTTTCTCATATTTGTTTTGCAAAAACACTTCCTTTCATTTCTCCACCTCACCCACAAGTACCTCAACTTCTGCTTGTGAAATTGCGCTTCCTTGATCTGCCTTGATCTACGGTCGCCATGTCATTGGCGGAGCGCTGCAACAGCCGGCTTATGTTTATGCATGAGATCCACAAGGCACTTTGCATTGACCATTTATGGCAGTAAGTGGGCGTGGTGAGGGCGGGATGTTACTAGAATGCAGCTGAGAACATTTCTAAATAGTTTCTGATTCATGAAGCGGAGATTGCGTGCAGCTGTGTGTACTCCATGTTTGATAGATCACAAACCTGCTTGGCGTAAGTACTTTTTTTTGCTGAGCTTAAGTACGGGTTTAGTAAGGATTCTATGCAATGTTTGATAAATGAGACCCCTGAACTGCATTGGGATGTTTACTATGTGAAGTGCCTTGAGGCGACTCTTGTCGTTTGGCGCTATGTAAGTAAACTTGAATTGAATTGAACTTTACATGAATTAGCTCCACACAGTCAGTTTCTCCAGAGTTGGTCCTCATAGGCCTCTGTAGTCCACCCTGACATGCTGCCAACCAGCTTCTGGTCTAGATCCTGACCGAGTTCATTCTTCATCATCAGTGTTGTGCTTGTGTTTGTCCTCCTGCCTCTGTAGGAGACCCTGACCCCAGACACAGCAGCAGCTCCATCACAGAATGGAGATGCTGCTGTGGACCAGTCAACCCCTGTGGTTGGACCTTCAGACAGCTGCATGTCTGCAGAACTCAGTTAACAAAGTAAAGGTGGAACCAGAACTCCTGCAGCACCGTGTGAGAAACCAGGAGGTCAAACAGGAGATCAGGCGGACTCTGTGTGTGTGGTTTAATATGTTAGTGGTAGTTTGTGACCCCTGACCCACTCCTGCTCCTGTCTACTACCAGGTGTGTTTTCATTCACAGACCTGGGCCTGTAGATCTTCCTTCTGTCGTCGAGTTTCATCCAGAGATCTGGAGATGTCAGCGCTTACCATCAGCTGGCTGTTCAGCTCCACCTGAGGGAGGAAATCAAGAGTTCTAATGCAGATCCATTCTGGAGTTCTGTCTGATAACAGGTTACCTACTGGTAGACCAGTGTGGTACCCTGAGTTGCTTCTACAGCTGAACTCTGAGTAACTGTGTCGTTTTTAACCACATGGACTTGAAACTGGGAATCGGGACTTCCCAGCATGACGGTTGGTGTATGAGTAGCACAACTCCAGCCTTCTACACACACTGATGTTTACATTACAGGTGACCCAACACCAATAAAGCTAGTCTCATCCTAAATGACTGAAGCAATTAGAAGTGAACTGGACATGAAAATGAACCCACCGCGCTCCGCTCCAGCTCCTCTGTTCTCTGCTGTAGAAGTGCGTTTGTCTCAGCGACCTGCTTCTCCAGATCAGTCTGACACACGAAACACAACATTAGTCAGCAAGGAACAAATATTTCCTAAAGCTAAAATAATGTAATCATAGAACTATTAGCTCCTTCTGCTGGAACATCATCAGCTAGAAGAAACGCGGAGAGAGGTCAGTAAACCTACCAGCCGGTCCTGAAGCATCCATTTGTCCGTCTGCAAACAGCTGACTCTTCCTTCCAACCTGCTGAGCTTTTCCTGACTTTGCTGCTCTAATAAACACAACTGCTGGTCCAGAAAAGCCTTTTCAGCGGTCCACTCGCCTCGCTGCATCAGACAGAGCAGAGACTTCACATCATCACCAGACCTGAATGAGTGGGTCTTGCAGGATTGTTTTCTCCTACAACAAATGCCAGACTGCAACCACTTCAGACATTCAGGGTTCTATCCTTTCTAATGTTCACGATTTGATGATGACAGAGAGGACAAGTTGAGACTGATTAACCCTCTGGTTCATCGCACAGTCTGACTACATGAATTCACAACAGCTGCTGGCTGTGGGCCTGTTTCATTTGTGTTATTGGATAAAAAACAACACGAGAGCTTTTAATTAACAGCATTAACAGGTAATTTTATGATTTAAATCATCCATCCATGACATCTATTTTCGCTGCTTATCTGGAGTCAGGATGCGGGGGCAGTAGCCTAAGCAGATAGACCCCAGCCAATTGGGCTAGCTCCTCCAGGGGAATCCTAGCTGTTCCCTAGCTAGCCATTAAACATGTCTCTCCAGCGTGTCCTGGCGTGTCCTTTGGCCTTCTCCTGGTTGGACGGGCCCAGAAAACCTCACCAGGGAGGTGTCCAGGAGGCATCCTGACCAGATGCCCGAGCCACATCAACTGGCTTGATTTAAATCAATATTGTCTTATTCAGCATCATCAGTTACATCTACATGGCAAGGTTAGAGTGCTAATGACCCCGCAAGCATAAGGGGATCTAGATTTCACACAAAAACACAACGTTGTGTTTTTGTGTGATGCTGAACTTTCTGCTCAGTCGCTGGCTGTTTCTCAGGCTCTGAACCTGGAAACGGCTGCAGGCAGGAAACTCTGGAACTAGCCGTGACTCTGTCCCCTAGCCCATCACTGACACCGCTTATGGGCTTGGGCTGGTACGGTTGGAACCACATGGAAGCAGGTACTGAAAAGGTGGGGTCAAACTCAGGACCGATTAGGAACAGAAGGAAAGCTCCCAAAGTGAACTCCGGTGGCCGCTGGTGCAAACGTCTCTGGCCAAACCGTCAGAAACAGATGTCATGAGAGGAGCCTGAGGGCTGAATGTTCTCTAGTGGGTCCTGGACTCATGTGGTAACTGGTAAGAATATGCAGGTTCCTGGAGGAGGATGAAGGAATTGATACCTTTGATTGGTCTCAATAATCTCCTGACCTAAATCCAACAGAACATCTTTAGAACATCATGTTTGGGTCAACCAGAATCCACCAGGTTGTACCCCAGACTGTCCAACAGCTCAGTGATGCTCTGGTCAGGATCTGGGAGGACATCATCCACCAGCCCATATGGAGCATGCCTCGATGACCTGATGGCTGCCTGAAGCTAGTAACTGTGTGTGGCCGTGTTGAGTATCTGGACAACGCCACGCTGAAGTGGGCTGGACATGGAAATGTAAGGAGGCGTGTCTAAGCAGCATTCCAACACAGAAAAGCAGGTAGGAGATGACACAGGTCCGCCTTTATTCAACAAGAAAGGTACATTTATTTTAATTCAAGAACCCCTTTTAATGAATACTGAACCCCAAGTTTGTGTTTGATGAGTAGAAAGTAAGTTCTTCACGCCACCAACAGCTGTGGAAAACATCCAATACTTTAGTAAAACACTGAATAAAAGAGCCGGATACCAGTTTCTCCTTGCTCTGCTGCTCCTCTGTGATCATCTGTTCTGTTCTCTTTAGTTTCTCAGAGCTTTCCAGAACCTGCTGCTCCAGGTTAGCAATCTGAAATACCAAAAAAATACTATAAACATCCTGTGAATGAAAAAGCCTCGTCAGGCTTTTTCTAACCCACTCTCTACTCTTTCTGCAGCTAATGCAGGTGACGGGGGTTAGAGAATATTTTCCTGTTCAGTGTTCATCTGAAACTCACATTTCAAAAGGAACAAGTTTCATATGTTTCTCAGTGGATCGCCTATTTAAATCAGAGTTCTGTTTCAACACGACCATGCGCTTGTAGATTAATTGGGTTGGTCTGGTTTGTGGAGCTGATAGCTGACTCAGCTCTTGGACCACTGCTCTTCAATCTCTACATGCTCCCCCAGTGACGGGTCATACACAGTAACAACATTACCCATCATAGCTATGCAGATGACACCCGGATCTACCTAGCTCTGTCACCTAGTGACTGTGGTCCCTTAGACTCTCAGTGACTGTCAGTGTTTGGAGCAAGTTCATGACTGGATGCAGTCAAACGTCCTCCAGTTAAACAAAGACTAGACAGAAGTTATAGTCTTTGGAAATAAGGATAGGATCGAGGTTATTGCTCAGTCTGGCTCAGGAGGAATAAAGACCCAGGTTAGAAATCTTGGTTCATCATTGATTCAGACCAGAGCTTCACTGGTTACATTAAGGTAAATGGCCTGTGTGTGATATAGCGCCTTCTAGAGTCCTGGAACCCCCAAGGTGCTTTACAACACAATCATTCATTCACACACACATTCACACCCTGGTGGTGATGAGCTACACTGTAGCCACAGCTGACCTGAGGCGCACTGACAGAGTCGAGGCTGCCGAGCACTGGCGCCACCGGTCCCTCCGACCACCACCAGCAGGCAACGTGGGTTAAGTGTCTTGCCCAAGGACACAACGACAGCAACAGACTGAGCGGGGCTCGAACCTGCAACCTTCAGATTACGGGGCGAGCTCTTAACTCCTGTGCCACCGTCGCTAAGGCCATAACTAGATCAGTGTTTTATCACGTTAAGCACATAGCACGACTAATGGCTCTCATGTCCAGACAAGACCTAGAGAAACAGATTCATGTGTTCATCTCCAGCAGGCTGGATTACTGCAATGGTCTTTTGACTGGTCTTCCCAAAAATGCTGTGAAACAACTGCAGGCTCTGAGATCTTTAGTAAGCGGTCTGATGGTAGAACCTCGGGTCAGAACCAAACAGGGTGAAGATGCTTTTAGCTGCTATGCTGCACACAGTTTGAGTCAGCTTCAGATGACCTCAAATGGGCCCCAACTCTAGCAGCTGGGTTATAGATGATAAGTGATCTGCACTTGTATAGGGAGGCTAAAGCCGGGCGTACACTGTGCAACTTTTTCACTCGTAGCGTTCAGCTTCAGCTCAAACTGTACGACTTCCTCGCAGAGCAGATCTCACGAGTCGTGTGCTCACACTGTACAACCCAGTTCTCGGATGCGACCTGACTGCTCACACAGCAGGCTTGTTGTTTCATGACTGCTCACACTGTACGTCTGGTAGCAACACATCAGACTGTAAGTGGGCTATAACCAGGCTGTAAGTGGGCTATAACCAGGCTGTAAGTGGGCTATAACCAGACTGTAAGTGGGCTATAACCTGGCTGTAAGTGGGCTATAACCAGGCTGTAAGTGGGCTATAACCAGGCTGTAAGTGGGCTATAACCAGACTGTAAGTGGGCTATAACCAGACTGTAAGTGGGCTATAACCAGGCTGTAAGTGGGCTATAACCAGGCTGTAAGTGGGCTATAACCAGGCTGTAAGTGGACTATAACCAGACTGTAAGTGGGCTATAACCAGGCTGTAAGTGGGCTATAACCAGGCTGTAAGTGGGCTATAACCAGACTGTAAGTGGGCTATAACCAGGCTGTAAGTGGGCTATAACCAGGCTGTAAGTGGGCTATAACCAGGCTGTAAGTGGGCTATAACCAGGCTGTAAGTGGGCTATAACCAGACTGTAAGTGGGCTATAACCTGGCTGTAAGTGGGCTATAACCAGGCTGTAAGTGGGCTATAACCAGGCTGTAAGTGGGCTATAACCAGGCTGTAAGTGGGCTATAACCAGGCTGTAAGTGGGCTATAACCAGGCTGTAAGTGGGCTATAACCAGGCTGTAAGTGGGCTATAACCAGGCTGTAAGTGGGCTATAACCAGACTGTAAGTGGGCTATAACCAGACTGTAAGTGGGCTATAACCAGGCTGTAAGTGGGCTATAACCAGGCTGTAAGTGGGCTATAACCAGGCTGTAAGTGGGCTATAACCAGGCTGTAAGTGGGCTATAACCAGGCTGTAAGTGGGCTATAACCAGGCTGTAAGTGGGCTATAACCAGACTGTAAGTGGGCTATAACCTGGCTGTAAGTGGGCTATAACCAGACTGTAAGTGGGCTATAACCAGGCTGTAAGTGGGCTATAACCAGACTGTAAGTGGGCTATAACCAGACTGTAAGTGGGCTATAACCAGACTGTAAGTGGGCTATAACCAGGCTGTAAGTGGGCTATAACCAGACTGTAAGTGGGCTATAACCAGGCTGTAAGTGGGCTATAACCAGGCTGTAAGTGGGATATAACCAGACTGTAAGTGGGCTATAACCAGATTGTAAGTGGGCTATAACCTGGCTGTAAGTGGGCTATAACCAGACTGTAAGTGGGCTATAACCAGGCTGTAAGTGGGCTATAATCAGGCTGTAAGTGGGCTATAACCTGGCTGTAAGTGGGCTATAACCAGACTGTAAGTGGGCTATAACCAGGCTGTATCTGGGCTATAACCTGGCTGTAAGTGGGCTATAACCAGACTGTAAGTGGGCTATAACCAGGCTGTAAGTGGGCTATAACCTGGCTGTAAGTGGGCTATAACCAGACTGTAAGTGGGCTATAACCTGGCTGTAAGTGGGCTATAACCAGACTGTAAGTGGGCTATAACCAGACTGTAAGTGGGCTATAACCAGGCTGTAAGTGGGCTATAACCAGGCTGTAAGTGGGCTATAACCAGGCTGTAAGTGGGCTATAACCAGGCTGTAAGTGGGCTATAACCTGGCTGTAAGTGGGCTATAACCAGGCTGTAAGTGGGCTATAACCAGACTGTAAGTGGGCTATAACCAGACTGTAAGCAAGCATTGAACCCCTACCACAGAGTTGTTCCATCGCATCGGATAGAAGCTATCAGAAACAGAAGTGCCTGGTGCTGTTTTGGCCCACCTGTGTGTCTGTTCTCTCCCTGTAAGCCCTGGAGGAGTCCTCTTTATGGCGAAGAAGATTCTGCAGATCAGAAATGCTGCAGCTCATTCTGGATACCTGAGGCCAGACAGGACAGACGACCTCAGATGTGTTCAGAAAAGTGAAGTTCAAAGATACTTCACCCCTTTTATGTACTCGTTTTGATTCTTTGTAAAAAAGTCTTTCATTGTTCCTTCACACTGCCAGCAGAGCTCTGCAGCTTCCTCATTAGGCATCATGATCCTTTCCTTAGACTACATAATAATAACAGTAGCAACATCAACATGTTTCACCTGTGCCTCCAGGGAGCTGACCGTGTCAGCATGATTTGTCCGAACAGATAACAGCTCTGCTCTGGTGTTTTCTAGACTCATCTCCAGACTGGATTTCTGAAAAGCCAACAACAGTACCAATAAACAGCTGATCTTTCTCTAAAACATCAGCTTGATGTCAAAACAGTATGTCCTCCTGGTAAAACAACAGCATTAACCCTAGTCACATGAAAAAGCCCACCAGACCTCCTGCAGCAGCTCCTGGAGATGCTCGTCCTGACTCAGGTTCCCCTGCAGTCTTCTCTCTAAAGAAGACACCTTCTTCTGAAACTCCACCAACAAGCGCTCCTTGTCCTCCTCCGTCACAGCAGCCTGACGAGACAAACACCACACCAGACAGTAGGCTTTCACGTTGTCAGGTAGTAATTACGTTTGGATGAAGTAAACCTAAGTCATCATTCTGCAATCTTTTTCAGACCTTTTGTTGCTGCACCTTCAGTGCATCATGCTCAGCCTGTAAATCACGGAGGGACTTCTCCAATGTTGCCACCATATTCTGTGACTGAAACAACCAGTTAAAGACCCACTCCTATGAAAATCATGTTTTTCCATTTGTAACATATTCTTGAGGCATTTCTTGTTCTGCTACAGGACAAATCTAAAGAAATGTAAGCTGAAAATTGCATTTCTGAGTATTTCTATATTCAAACTGATGTTAAGAAAATGAATATTTAATGACTTTTAAATATTAAATGGTTCGCTCAACTGGTAAGGCACCTGACTAACACTCAGGGGACGTGGGTTCAAATCCAGGCTTTAAGTTTTACTGCGTGTACTGTATTATTGTGCAGTAATACAGTAATAAGACGTCCACAGATGGTCATTAAATGTCCAAATGAGACACGCAGAAAGACGGTGAATTTACAGCCAGAAAAGACCCGCCTCTTCACCTCCGTGCGTCTCCCGGTTCAACTTTCCTTTGGGACTATTTTTCAACCATGACGTGACGTATATGTAATAAATATTATTTCATATTATAAATATATATTCTGGATGGACGTGTAAGGCGGCGTGAACCCCGAGTTCGCTTTACGCCACACAACTCTGGTGCAGATCCAGGAAGGTTCTGCTGCTGCTGCTATATACAGGCAGCCAGCACACAAAGCTGCCAGATTTCTTCGGATTAGTTTAGAAAGTTGAACCGAGCTCGTGCATCTCCTGTTAGAGCGGGTGGTGGGGTGGTGGGGGGGGGGGGGACCATTTCACCTCTTCACCTCCGTGCATCTGCCAGCAGGTGGAGTGAAGGAGGAGCTCAGAGCAGCAGACAGAGCAGGTGGATGACTTCTGTTGGGAACGTTACTTTTAAAAAGTAATTAGTTATAGTTACTGATTACTTTGTCAAAAAAGTAACTCAGTTACTTACCGAGTTACAAGATTATAAAAGTAACTAATTACCAAAAAAATAACAATTTTTCCCTTTTTTCATTAAAGAATGTAAGACAAATGGGTTCCCCTCTTAATTAAACTTACTTCATTTACTATAAATGACTACAATAGTGAAATATAAATGACTAATGACTGGAACATAATAAAATGTATGTCCAAATGTTTTTATAAAGTAATTATTAACTGAATAATTGAAATAAATGGGCATCTAACTGGATGAACTACAAACAGGAACATTACACTAATCTAGACTATTAAAAGGTCACTGTGTGATATTTAACAAGACCCCAATCAGCTAACATTAATAATTGCAAATAGAAACACATGTAAAGGTTCCTGAGCCTTTAAATGGTCTCTCAGTCTAGTTAAATTACTGAAATAAATGTCATTTTGCACAATATTCTAATTTTTCCAGTTTGGTGTGTTTTTAGCAGCGTTTCTGTTGCTGGTAATCTAGTAAAGGTTAAATAAATAAATAAAATCCTTTAAAATGACACTAGAAGAGGCACAAACCTGATGGAGGACTTACATTTACTAACGTGGGTCAGACCCAACCACAGAAGAGCTGAAGCTGGGTGGTAAACACACACAGGTAGTTCTAGTAACACCTGAGCTCCATGCCGTCTGAGACTGATGCATCAGTGTTACAGCGGGACTAAAGAATGATCAGAGACAGGTTACAGCTGGGTGATCTAGGAAGGTAGAAGATCAGGATGTCTGAGTGGTGAACAGGTGAGCGGACCTTCGGGACGTCCAGCTGTCACGCCAAGAAGGGCGCGGCTGCAGATTCACGCCTGCTGCAGCGACTCTGCGGGTCTGCAGCTGCGGACTATTCATCACGTCTTCCTCGTTCTTCACGGGCCGTGATGCGTTTGGATGAAAACATCCGCTTCGTTAGCTTCCAATCAGCTAAACGCACCGCGCTGCTGAATTAGTAATGCACACATTTTCTAATCAGTAACGGAAACGGCGCTATGATAAAAGAAGACCGTAACTAATTAGATTACTAGTTACTGAAAAAACTCTTTTTAGTAACAACGTAATTTTAAATGGCGTTATTCCCATCACTTCTTCTAAGCAACAAAAAATATATGTTTTACCAAGGATGAACAAATGCATTTCCTGACGATTACCTCAGACCACCTGCTCTGAGCTCCTCCTTCACTCCACCTGCTGCACGGTGCTGCTTTGTCCTCTCTGATCGGCTCGAGAGCGAGCGGGCTTGGTCCAACTTTCTAAAGTAAACTGAAGAAATGTGGCCCAGCCTGGATTTGAACCCGGGTCCCCTGCATGTAAGTCGGGTGCCTTACTAGAGTGTCCCTGTCCTCCGCTCCGCCCACAACCCAGAGGCAAATTTTTAATGAGCTACTGCCACTATATAGAAACTAAGTACTAGAAAACAGCACAAGCTATGTGATTTAGGCTAAAATCAGCATAATCTTAGCTTAAAGACCACGGAGAAGTACCGTATTTAAAACTGCTACAAACGATTATTAGAGTGGGACTTTAAAAACAATCCCTCCATGGAGAGTTTAGCAGAGCCAGATATGTTCGAGTTTAGCGCTCACCATCTGGAAGTCTTCAGAAACCTGCTGGATGACCGACTGCAGCTCTTGGCATCGTGCTTCCAGCTCACTGACCTTCTGCTCATCTTCTTCTTGGAGCAGCAGGAGTTCTTCTCTGCACCGTCAGTTAGAGGCAGATTTATTCATTTTTATCAAGTGTAAAAGCTTTTTAGCCATAGATTTAGGTTTGATTTAGTCATTTGTGTAATTTTTATGCAGATAACGGTTTATAAATACTGAGAGGCCTGGGATTGTGTGACATGACCATCAAACATCTCACCTCTCACTCTGGAGCTCAGAGTTGAGTCTGCAGCTCTTCTCAAGCTGTCGCTGCAGAGCCTGGACCTGACCCCGAACCTCAGACAGACCTTGTTTAGCCCCCTCGACCTCAACCTCCTTCTGCTGGAGCTCCTGCTCCTGCTGGCCAAGCAGCTCCTCCTTCCTCAGCAACTAAAGCAGCAACAACTCATTCAGATATGGGCTAACAGGTGTATAAACTCTCAAGATCTATGAAAACAGAACATCTGAGAATGTCAGCAGACCATGTGCTTAACTTTAGCCAGTTCCTGCTGCTGAAAACCGTCCAGCTCATCCAGATCATCCCTCTTCTGGAAAAGTGTTAAGCTTTGCTTCATCATCTCCTCCAGCTGAGCGGACAGAGCAGACTTCTCCTACACGCACGCACGCACACACACGCACACACACACACACACACACGTTAAAAAGACTCAGCATGTCTGCGGTGGAATGAACCAGAGACGCATATATGCAGACGTCCAGTGGACTGGTATCGAGAGCCCAAGTCTCCTCCCTTTTCCGGTCGGCTCATGGGTTCCCAGAAGAACGAAAAAATGAATGCAAGTCAGCGGAGCTAAAACGTTATTTTCTAATCCGCTTTACCTTACGCCCTGGATCACACGCATGTTGTACTGCAGTTTAAATGAAAAGTAATGATGGGTGTTTCGACCACGCCAGTCAAGTACGTTGACATTTATCAGCTTGTAAAAGTTTGAAATTAGCATGACTACAAATCAGACGTCACCACATAATCTCCTCTCCCCTAGCGTAGCTGCTTCTTACCACATGGCCAGATTTATGATGGTTCTTTCCTCCTGAAGGAAGTTCACTGAACTTACAGCCATTTTCCCTCAGTTGTCTCCGTTTCTGGTTGGATGATGCCACTTTTGTGAAGCACATTTGTAGTCCTGGACTTTTTTTTCCACATAAAACCTAAAATAACATTTCCCCCGTTTGAAAATAAGCGCTTTCTTGGTATCAAAATGAGTCTTTCAAACTCACGGACATTATATGTGAAATCCATGGCACAAAGCAAGCAGAATTAGAAAATAACGTTTTTAGCCCCGTTGACTTGCATTCATTTTTTCATTCTTCCGGGGACCCGTGGTCCGGAAGTAGGTGGGCGTGACTTAGGCTGCCTATGGCCAATTGGAGCTGCTGTAGTGACCAGCTGCCATTTTAGATGGGTCTCCATTCACCCCCAGTACTCCTACTGAGGAAGGTGTTAACCAAAAAAAAAAAAAAACATGTTTAACTAGAAAAATTTGCATTTCTTGCAGAAATGCTGTTTGAAAGCTGGATAGCTGAAACTGTAAGCTGAAGCTGCTGAACAGTAGCCTGGCAAGCCAGACTAAATAAATGTATTATTTAGTGTGGCCACGCTCCATTGACGGCTCTCGGTTGTGGGGCGGGTTCTACCGTTGTCTTTCAAATGATCTCCGCATTCCACTGGACAATGAATGTGACATACTCTTGTTTCACTCTGTTGCATCATCCCACCCACCAGGCATATAGAGTGCCCTGACTAGCCCACAAAGCGGATAAAGCTCTGTGATTTGTTCACTAAGCAGATGGAGCACTATGATTGGCCTACCATTATGGACCAATCACAGCTCTTTACGTGTTTGAAACCCCTCTAGAGAGCTGTGATTGGCTAGCCAAAGTCCTGGTAGGAGCTGCGGAGGTTCCAGTGGAGCGTGCCTAGACCAAACTTTGCAAAGCAAGAATTTGGTCTAGTTCACTAGGCTAGCTGAACAGCTGAACTCAAGCTGAAACTAAGCAAAACTGTCAAAATGAGCTGAATGTATTAACAGATGTAGAAGCAAAAAACACCTACAACCAAATAAAGCACAAAAAGTAAGTGAATAATAGAGAAAAATAATCCTTAACAGAAAACTGAAATCAGTGAACATTGTATAAAAATCTGGACAGCTAAAATGTCTAAACACGTTATTTCAGTAGGACAAGTTTAACAGTTTATTATTTACATTTAGCTGAACTGTGAAATTAGCAGCATATGCTAAATTTGGAAACTGATTGCTGAAGCTGCTGAATAGCTGAAGTGAAGCTGAGACTAAGCTAAACTGTATTTAAAGATTTAGAAGCAAAAACCACCAACAAGTGTAATAAAGCTCAGAATATAGGTGGAGAATGACCAAAAAATGCTAAACAGTAGAAAACTTTAATCTTTAAACATTGATTAAAAACTCAAAAGTTGAAATGTTAAACAGCTGGCATTTGAATGAGAATATTTTAACGTGTACATTTTTACAATTGGCTGAACTATGAATTTAGAAACATTTACTGATATCTGAAACTGATAGATTAGCATATGTTCAGAGGATGGAGCAACAAAGAAACCATTTGCACTCTGAACCGTTCTTCCGGGAGTAAGGAAAGAACGATAATCTGCACATGTGCACGAGGACTGACCAATCATAAACCGTTTTTGCCCGGGCCGATTCGCCGAAGACAAAGGTACAGTTGCAGAGCTGGAGACCGCCGATTTACGTCTGCTGCAGGCTCACGCTTCTACTAGAGACGGCGCAGGCGTCAACCTGCAGCCGCCAGACACTTTGGCTTTTCCTGCATTTGGCAAATACAGTCATCGGGAGTTTCAACTACCGTCCCGTTTACACACGCAGCTCCGTGGCTCATCTGAATTTCCTTCCGTGACACAGGGATGGTTATACTATGAGACACCCGCTCCCTGTTGCTCGGTGCGCCGTTATTATCACGATGGAGAGAATACAAAACAGAGAAGTTGAGAAACTATGAGGTGTAAAAAAACAGCTTTTTAGGAAAATGTGAGAATGAGGAGAGCAGGAGGTCTGAGTTATATCCTACAACAGAACTGTTTGGATCACCACACCATATCTGTCTTAATGCCACTTTATTGATACTTTTGGAATTTATTGTACATATCAAAGCAATTTGGGCCATTTTAATCATACTTTAACATATAACATAGTTTTTATTTTTCTATATATGTATATCTCTTTTAGATGCTATGGGGAAAATGAACGCCCATGTGGTGTGATGACGTCATCAATACGTAAATTAGCAAGTGTCGTCATCTAGCGACATCTAGTGACTTTTGGAGGAACTTCAGCTACTTTCAGTCAAAAACAGTTGGCAACGCTGATCTACGTATCCATGTGTGTGGAATGAACCGCCTGCTGCAGCCTGTCAGGCTCCACGCATCTATACAGAGCACTAGCTTTATGTAGAGCCAGAACCCTAACCCTTTATTTATCTGGTGTTTGAGCTGAAATTAAAATGAGTTTTTAGAGTTTGGGATTAAATGAGAATCTGAACCTGATGAACAGCTGAAACACTTAAACCAAAGTTATGAGTTGATCAAACACCTGGGATTAAACATGTATTCTCTCTCTCTCTCCTGTCAATCAAAACCCAAGTATTCTTTTAAACATGATGTACTGTTACATTAGTAATTATTTTGAGTATATTTTGTCCATCCCAGATTCAGCCTGTACCACAGCTACATATCCAGACCCTTGCACCACCAGCACTTATCAGGTAATGCAGATTTACCAGGACGCCCAGCTGTCCCAGTTCCTGAGGCTCAGGAACCATTAGCCCACCAGTGGGATGGGAGTGTTTGTTGGGTCCCCTCCTGGTGGCTCAGGAGTGTGACCTGCAGCTCAGGGACCAACAGGTTCCACCCCAGCCACTTTGGCTCCACGTGCAGAAAACACCATAGCCTTGCAGACCTGGGCTCTCTGTTTTCTCTAGTATGTGTGGTTCTGTCCCTAACCCATCGTCCGTCTGCCTGTTTGGAATCATGGAGTTTTCCAGTGAATGACAGAGATAATTAGGTACTTGCCCTTTCCAAAGCAGCCAACTTCTCCATCCATTCCTGCAAGAGAGAAACAGACTAGTCATCCCACACGCTGTGCCTCGGCTTTGTAGACCAGGTGAGACAACAGGAACATACCTGGTCCTTCTTCTCCAGAGCTACAGCCATCCCCTCAGCCATCTTGGTTCTGTTGGCCTGGTGAGACTCACTCTGCTCCTGCAGCTTCTTTATAGAGGCTGCAACAGGAGGAGGGACACCACACACAAACGTTTGTGCTCAAACAGAGAATACCAGATTTATTCAACATAGGAAGTTGTTAGTAGCTGTGAAAATGGGTTTTGCCCTGAGAGCAAAAAAGGAGAAGACAAGCGATGCGCGGCGACTAGAGGCAGATGCAGCACTGCTGGTTTGACACAATAAGTGAGAGAAAATCCAGCCAAGGTCAGGAATTATCCAGGCCTTCATGGATCAACCTGGGTCACCCAGGGTCACTCTCACCCTCCTCAGAGGGAAGAATTGCGGCCGGGTAATAAAGTAAACAGATGTGTGGCTAGATCACTATCCACTACACTGATTTTACAAACTAACCCCGGCTTTCCACAGCAGCCATCAGCAGCACGTCATAGCTGCTGATAGGAACGGCTGTGGTCAACAGAACCTTTTCCACTGGAGCCGTTGGCAGCCGTCAGCAGCGTGAGTCGGCCGCGTCTCAGGAGCAGCATGTCGCGGCCCTTACGCGCCGGTTCTATTTCCTACGCGCGACGCCTCTGAAACGGGTCAAGTTCGACATTTTTGGGGAAGGAAAGACAGGAAATCGGACGCGGAAATGGAGAGAAGCTCCCGAGTTTTTCAGAATAAAGAACGTATTGCCTTCCGGTCGCTTTACTTTAAAAAGGTTACTAACTGTGCGGCCCCGTGAGAAGTTATCACCTAGCTAGCGGTCTCCTTTGTTTTTCAGGTCCGTATTGGCGATTATAAAACGGACAGAACATAAAAACACAAACATTTTGGAGCCATGTTGTAGTTTTCTCCTGCTTGTTGTTGTGTTCACTGACGAAGTCACTCGTGTGACTTCGTGCTCTGTCGGTGACAGCTGCTCCCCTGCTGATTCGCGTCTTGTTGGAAGGGCCAAGCAGCAACTTACGCGAGCAAGACGTGCTGCTGCAGTAACGTGCTGCTGACGGCTCCCGTGGAAACCCGGGGTGAGACGCGGCCGACTCGCGCTGCTGACGGCTCCTGTGGAAAAGGTTCTGTTGACCACAGCCGTTCCTATCAGCAGCTATGACGTGCTGCTGCAGTAACGTGCTGCTGACGGCTCCCGTGGAAAGCCGGGGTCAGTCTTCAGTTCTGGCGACAAACGCTTGTGTTTTACTTCGGCTTACAGGTCATGTTTCATCATTTTGGTCCTAAAACAACGTTTTAAGAGGTCCTTCACTCATATTTTAATACAACTGCAGTGGTCTCTAGTAGGAATGAAAGCCTTGCAAGTCATACTCAGGGGACAAAAAAGCTCAAGTGCTGAAGACTGAAAACATCAAAACAGGAGACCAGCTTTTATTTCCAGGAATTCCAGGCATACCCGAGCTGGAACAAATGATCAGAAAGGTTCTGGTGTGTTTTTAAGGTGGCTATCCCTCTCAGCTTGGTCCATTTACACTGGCTGACAAATGTTTCTCTAAACGTTAGAAGTCACGCTGCTGCATTTGGGACGCAATTTTGCTCAGTTTTATGACTTTTTGTCAGACTCTGAACCAGGAAATGGCAGCATGCAGAGAAACAGAAGTTAGACAACTTTGGAGACACCAGTGACTCTGCCCCTAGCCAATCAGAGGGCAGAGTGATGATGGTGGCCCCAATCAGACTTTCCAGGTACCTCAAATGAGCAGGGACTAAAAGCAGAGGGAAAACACCAAACCGTGCCCTTGGGAACAGAGGTCAGGCCAAACTGCACCAGTCTGAGTAACACCAAGTAGTCCTGGAGAACAAGCTCATCTAAACGGTGTTTCAAAGGTGATCTGGGATCATGAGCAGATCCTCCTTATCCTTCCATCACACTGGTGAAGGTTCATCTTTGTCTCGTCGGTCCATCAAGCCTTGTCTCAACGTTTTATGCTGGTAATGTCTGGTGAATCCCAGCCTGGTCTTGCCGTCTTCTTCCTAAGGAGTGGTTTGACTTTCCTGGTGAATTTGGTTTCCTTCTTCTCTAGACAGCGTTGCTTCCACCTAAATGTGGTCCGACAGGCAGAAACGTTTAGCCTAAATATGGTTTCAGTGACCAATGTGATGGGATACACCTGGTCAGCAGGTCCAACACTCACCTATGATTAGGTGTTCTGCTCATCAGAACCAGACGTAAGCACCAGGAACTAAATCTGATCTCTGGTCTCGTGTTTTGTTGCCACGCCCATTTTCAGTCTTTAGCAGAAGGAACTGATTCGTTCGTGAGTGTGTGTGTGTGTGTGTGTGTGTGTGTGTGTGTGTGTGTGTGTGTGTGTGTGTGTGCGTGTGTGTGTGTGTGGTCCTGATATTTATACTAATTGCTTCCACTCATACTTGTTGCTCAAATGCACACAAGTACACATTTAGATGGGTTATTGTTGCTTTACTTGGTAAGGAATAAAGCAGAAGTCCACATGATGAACAGCTTCACCAGAACCACGGCAGGTGCACCATTAGGACTAAAGGAAACAGAAGGCACCTGCACCCTAAAGCAAACCTCCGAAGCCCCCGTTATCAGCCACAAAAAGGAAGTGAGGATGTGCTAGGTGAGAGGACAGACAGGTGAGAGGACAGACAGGTGAGGAAGAGGTGGGGACAAGGAGTGGTACGTACAATCCTGATGCCTTTCTAAGGCAATTTCAAGCTTCTCCTTGGTCTTCTGCATTATTCGTAGCTGCTCAGCGTAGTCTAGTGTTGGGAAGTAGGGTGAAGGGATAGACAGAATACACACACGCGCACACACACACACAAACAAAAGGGAAAACATGGTTGAGAAAAAATGGAAGTCACTGATGATTTTTAAAGAACAAACCATCCTGGTCTGAAGGCTACATGGGCGAATCTGAGAGTGAAGAATCTCCAAGTTAAGCGGAAGCAGGAAGAGGAGGCCCAGCTCCTTCACAGACACCTGGCAGCTCACTAAAACATCCCATAATAAAGCCCTGTCCTTCTCAGGTAGTCAGCTGCTCTATTCTAAGCAGCCAGTTTTAGTCAGCGGGCCATCACCTCATGGCCAGGCTGCTGCCACAGTGATACACCACCACAGCCTGTGGAAACACATTGCTGCCAGCTGTAGTGGAGAGTTCTTCATTTGCACCTGAACGCCTCACCAGGAGCCTCCAGAGACCATCCAGGTTCTGGTTGATGGATCACACCACAGCATGGTCTTCATGTGTGAAGGGTTTTGAGTCTCAGGTGTCCTACCTGACAGCTTGGCCTCCAGCTTCCTAATCTGATGGTTTCTTCTGAGCAGCTGGGCTGACAGGTCGTCTCTAGAGCTGCTGCCATCGGACGCCTGCACACACACACGCAGGCACACACACACGCACAGACGCGCGCACACACACACACGTGCACACAGACAGACACACACACACACGCAGGCACACACACACACGCAGACGCACACACACACACACACGCACACAGACAGACGCACACACACACACAAACACGTGCACACACACACACAGACAGACACGACACATACACGCACACACACGTGCACATAGACACACAAACACGTGCACATAGACACACACACACGTGCACATAGACACACAAACACGTGCACAGACACACACACACAAACACGTGCACACAGACACACACACACGTGCACATAGACACACACACACACACACACACACATACGTGCACATAGACACACGCACACAAAAACACACACATACGTGCACATAGACACAGAGACACACACATACGTGCACATAGACACAGAGACACACACACATACGTGCACATAGACACACAGACACACACACATACGTGCACATAGACACACAGACACACACACACATACGTGCACATAGACACACAGACACACACACATATGTGCACATAGACACACAGACACACACAAATACGTGCACATAGACACACAGACACACACACATACGTGCACATAGACACACAGACACACACACATACGTGCACATAGACACACACACATACGTGCACATAGACACACAGACACACACACATACGTGCACATAGACACACAGACACACACACATACGTGCACATAGACACACAGACACACACACACACGTGCACACAGACACACACACACACATACGTGCACATAGACACACAGACACACACACACACATACGTGCACATAGACACACACACACACACAAAAACACACACACACGCACATACGTGCACATAGACACACACACACACAAAAACACACACACACACACAGGCACACACACACACACACATACGTGCACATAGACACACACACACACGCACAGACACACACACACACACAGACACGCACACACACAGGAGCAGCGTTTGTTTTAAACAAGGCAGCATTCCTTACGATGCAGATTTGATGCACAGAGGAAATTCAACGTGCTTTCCAGGTGCATGAATAAAACTGAACACATACAGGTGATGGCCACATTTCAGGAATTCCATCCAAAAAGTGAAACTTGTATAATAAAATCATTTTTCACACAGACTGACTGATATTTTTCAAATGTTTCTTTTCTTAACGTTGATGATTGACTTGTATTATAACTGACAACTATTGAAAATCCCAAATTCAGATTAGGGCTGCAACAAACGATTATTTGGATAATCGATTAATCGGATGGGGTCTCGACACGATTAATCGATTAATCGGATTACATGGGGAAATTTTTAAAAACTGCTAGGGAAACGTTATTTCTCTCCTTCCTTCACTTTATTTAACACAACATTATTAGAAAACAGTTCAATAGCAGAAAAACAACATGCCATCACCTAAATTGTCTTATAAGGTGTATAGACAGAGACCCTAAGCTACATCTATCTGTGACCTAAAATGCTTGGTCCAAGTTAAACAGCTTAAGGGCAATTCTCATCTGTTTTGTTTGATCTCATCTGTTGACATTTATTTTAAATGTAATTAAACATAGGCTGTGAATTTATCAAAATTGATCACTATTTCCAAAAATGACTGAAAAAATACCAAATAAAACAAAAGTAAATGAATGCCATCCTCCTTGCGATGATGCCCTGGGCAACTGCCATAAAGTCACATCAAGAAATGCTGCTGATCATTCCAATGATCCCAAATAGACTCACATTAGGCCACATGAAAGCAACTGAACCCAAAAATATATTAGCCAGTATATAACTGCACTCTCACACAACACGCCTGCAGCAACAGTTAGGACTCCTCCCTCCCTTTTAAAAGCGTTTTTGCTTCTGAGGACATTGTGGTTGTAAAACCACATGCTAGTAGTCTGGCCCCGGTGTGATCAACCAGTTTCTGCGGGAATGTGACGGCGGAACCAGGGCCAGATTAACACTTTGTTGTACCCTGGGCAACAATATTCAAGGGCTCCATCATCACGACCCAAGGATCACCATAATGTGGTCACATACAGAATATTTTACTGTAATATGCAGTAAATATACTCAATACTTGAATGCCTGACAACACGTAACCCGCCCAGAGTAACCTTTGACCCACCTCGTGTGGACTGACCAATGAGGAGAGGGTCTTAACTTGAGGCCCTCTCTTCATTGGTCAGTCTGCATGAGACTGACTCTCAACTGACGTTCAGTCGTAGGCAGCGAAGCGTCTCTGTGCAGTGCAAAAGCCCGGGTGGACAGTTTGTTTAATATAGGGAGACCATATTTCCATTTCCAAACAAGAGGACAGGGGATCTGTGCCTATGACGTCACACTATGGCAACGCCACACAAACCATGTTGGGACCCATTTTTTGTAAGAACTAAATTAATATCAGATTCTGCCAATTAAAGGGCTCTAAAACAATTCATATGTAAATATTTTGCATATTTAATGCAAAATCTAATTTTTCTGCTTTAGTGTTGCAACAAGGTTTTATTAATAATAAATTACTACCTTTTGTTTTACTACAGCATCGGTAAGCTTCCTGTGCACAGATTATTAAGGATGCTTGTTTCAACTGTGAGATTAGACGATAGGATCAATGAAAAAATAAGTTGTCACACACTCCATGGAAACTTTCAGAGAATCCACAAATAGTGGCTTTCAAATGGTTTTGTTACTTTTTGCAAGTTTATAAAATAAGCAGATGAGACAGCATGTCTGATAATTTAGTTTTTCATCTGATAATATTAGAGCATGTCAGTAATGTCTGAGGGGCTTTTATAAACACTGTATAACTAACACTACTGGAGAGGGCATGAATTACACAGAGGCTTCTGGGGAGCCCAGTTATTGGGGGGGGGGGGGGGGGGGGGGGCATTTTGCCTTGGCCCCCAAAATGTCTTGAAACGGCCCTGGGTGTGTGACTGAGTTTTGAAGGTGATCTGAATTGTATCAGATGTATAAATATGACATGTGTATAACTTCCTGTTTTTTACTGGTAAAAACGTGTAGTGGAGATAAATCTACCTACATTTTACTTTTCAACACTTTGTTTTGTTTTCTTGTTTTTATTGAACTATTTTCCTGTCCTGTCTGTCTCTCATCTTCCTGCATCTCCTCTTAATTCTCCAGAAAATCTGTTGCCTGGATTCTTACCTTTTCACCTCATCAGTTACTTTTGAGCAGATCAAAGGGATCTCCTGACCGAAAAGCGCAGAGCGCGTTTTCGATGCTGCGTGAGGTGAAATCACCGCAGCACAGGTGATGAGCTCCGCAGTAGCGCGCTTCAGGCACAAATAAGACAGAAAATAGAGAACATGTGCGGACATGAACGATCGTGTGCTAATTATAGTTTTTTGGTTGCGCCACTTTGAGAATGGACCGTGCGCTGGAAGCAGCTGCCTGGATCGCTGTGCAACAATGCGGAACCGGTTCGCAGCAGCTCAAGTCTGCCGGCTCTCCCTCGCGCTGATCTGCCGGTACTGGCTCTCCCTCACGCTGATCTGCGGCTCTCCCTCGCGCTGATCTGCGGCTCTCCCTCGCGCTGATCTGCGGCTCTCCCTCGCGCTGATCTGCCGGCTCTCTTTCGCGCTGATCTGCGGCTCTCCCTCGCGCTGATCTGCGGCTCTCCCTCGCGCTGATGACTTGCTCTGGTCTGCGCGCAACGGCGGGCGGGAAGGGGGGGCGCTTTTGGAAGAGTTGTGCGACACAACGAATCGATGACGCAATTCGTTGCCAACGCTTTTAGTAATCGATTTTCATCGAATTTATCGATTCGTTGTTGCAGCCCTAATTCAGATAGTAGGTAGACAAGTTTAAGGTCTTACTGTGTCCTCCAGTGTTTCAGCACTATAGGCACAAGATGGGACCAGCACATGTTTTAATGATAGCCGAGTCAGTGACTCGGCGAGTAAAATATCAAAGTGGAAATCAAGTTTATTGTTTTACAGCTGGGTGGCTAATTAATGTGGGGAACTTTCCTCACAGACAACACAACAGTAACCAGACAGCTGTCAGTCACACCTACTCCTGCTGCCGGGCCGTCTTGACCTGAACAACCTGAACAGGCTGCTGGACCAGGAACCATAAAGACAGTCACATGTGACCCACGTAGCTTACTCACTAAATTATTAAACACGGTACATCCAAGACGACACACATCAGTTTGCCTCGGCAAATCTGGGACACAAGTCAAATTTCCCCCTGGTGCCTGGTTCATTTAGCCTGTTTTTCATTCCCTTTAGTATTTTACCATCTTCAGTCATGAACTAAAGGTAACACCTAGCCCACAAAATAATAGCAGCAACGTCTTGTGACCCAGATGTCGCAGGCTGAAACAAAGACCAACAAAACCAGAAAGGAAAGCCACGCCCATCTACTTGTGGACCATGGGTGGGAGTCAATGAGCTGATAAAAGTTAGTTTCTGATCAGCTGGATATGTGCCGTGGATTTCACGTATGATGCCGGTGAATTCAAAAGACACATTTGAGGCCTAGAAAGTGCTCATTCTCAACAGGTGGCAAAAGTTATTTTAGGTTTTGTGTGAAAAGACGTAGAAGACTACAACTGCTGATCTCACCGTACTGAAATCATCGAACCAGACACGAAGAAGAAGAGAAGGAGAATGGCTGCGAGTTTAACAAGCTTCACTTCATTCTTCCATGATAAAAGAAGGAGCATCAGACGTGGAGAAAACGCTAATAGATCTGGCCATCAACACCTGACCCTGTCTCGTAGCATCCTTTAGCTCCACACCCCAGTGCCACGGTGCCGTCTCTTTAACCCATCCACTGCTGTATGTTGCTCTGCTTTTCCCTAAACAAACCACCACCACTCCTTTGTTGTCCGATACAAAAGAAGGATCCAGTTATCTCCGTCCTGGCTTCAACTGCTGCAAACTGCAGCTGCAGAGCTTTGAACTGGCAGCAAGAGGAGAGAGCACATCCCTTCTGTTATGGCCTCACTGCACTGGCTGCCTGTTACAAATCCTTGTAGGCTTCTTTTATCTGTATTTCAATTTTGTATTTCAATTTTAAACAATCCTCCTCCGCGCTACCTCTTTGATTTATGCATGCACGTTCCCCATCTCAGCTGTCTGACCAGTCCTGGATGAACCAAGGACTCAGTGTGTAAGCTCAGGGGGGACAGGTCCCAAGGTGTGAAAGTGTTAGTCGGCATGATCAGAAAGACATCCTCACTGGAACAATTTTAGATCATATTTAAAGCCCGTCTGCGTTGGCTTCTGAAACCAGCATGAAATATAAAATCTGATTTTTGTGTCTTTAACAGGTTTTATTTACCTTATTTTTGCATAGTCGTGTTTTTATTGCTTTTTTTTCCCCTTTAGGATCTCTGCATTCAACAGCCTGTTCAGAGTTGGCTGTGATGTAAATAAAAGTTGTCTTTCTTCTTGGAAACAGTCTCTAATCGGTTTGTTTATCGTGGTTCACAACACAATTATTTAACTGTATGTAGAGATGTTAAAAACGTGGTTTTGCTCCCAGATTACTCATTCATACTCTGATTTTATTTTCCACAGTAATGAGGCGTTCCCAGTCGGGTGAAATCAGAGCACTTACGAAGTCATCCCCTGAGTCTGCGCCTACGGAGGTGATGGACTCCTTGCTGATGGTCCTGGGGATCCTCACGCCGCTCCGAGGTGCCGTGGCCGCCTCTTCTGCTATCTTCTTCTTTAACTTGGCGAACATGATGCTCGTCTCAGCGTGTCTTTCTGGGTGCAATGGGCAGATTCTGCAGGTGACGCATGGATCTCACGGATCCAGATTCTGAGGACTGACGCAGAACCGTCCGGTTCTGTAAAGCGTCTTCAGAGGGTCCGGTTTGGTTGTTTGCATTCTGCTACATCTGGGAAAAGAAGACAACAAAAGAAAGGCTCACAACATTACCATAAATTATCCCACAGTAAACAGTACGGCTCCGCGTTGAACGGCTGGACCGAGCAGGTCGGTCCCCTGGTTGTCTCCTCACCAGCAGCACCACCAGCAGCAGAAAGACGTGTTTATGTCCTCCAAACCCAGAAACTACCGTTGATCCAATGTGAAGAAACAAATATATGTATGTGTGTAAAACTCATTTCTGACACATATAACTTTCATTAGTAGGACCGCTAAAGATTGTTAACCGAGTGGTAAATAAAAGCTGATAAAACAGTTTGACCAGCTAGCTAGCTCTGGTAGTCATAACAATGAGTCAGGTCAGCGGTCGTTAGCTCGCTTCGCTGGACTCGGCGTCTCCTTACCGTGAACGTTAGTCAGTTAACGTCTAACTTCATGGGAGACTGAACGGTTCCGTCCACATTCAAAAGCTCGTTGTCTGGAGTCGGTGTAGAGAATTAGAACTCAATGATTCCGTACCGTCTGCCAAGCTAACAACTACACGTCACCAACTCAACACAGATGATCGATTACGTAAGGACGTAACGTCTGCTCATTGGGCAGGAGACCTGAGAGACGTGGAAACATCTGCCCCCTCCTGGCAGAAAAAGGAACGACAGCAACAAAGAGAATGTTTCTAGCTGTACCTGGGTTAGAAATCACTAATTGTATTTTGAGGGTGATCTGATGTCCAGAAGGTCCGCAAAGAAGCCACTTTTATGCTAGAAATCCATAGTGGACTCTACTAACTCACTAACTAAAGTTAGCAAGATAGTCACAGATTCGACTTTTGCGGCTCAACACCTTCTGAACAGAATAATACTTCAAAACATAAAATACCTCTCTGGACTCGTGGCAAGGTAGTGAACAAGCTACAACCTCGTATTAAAATTAAAATAAATGAACGTGCTCAACTCCCGACGAGCTAAAGTGTGCTCTATGAGACTACGAACGAACCTGTCGCGAGCGCTCAGGGACAGTCAGAAAAAAGACTAACCAGAATCAGCACCACCCCTGTACACTGCAGTGTCCCCTAATTCATTAAATTTAACACTACACACATGTTGTTCACATTACAGTGATTATTTTATTCCAGTAACACATAATGTTTTTGTTTTTTATTTTATTTTCGAAGATGTCAACTTTGATATTTATCTGCTCCATTTTAAAATGTAGTGACACCAACATCACACACCACATTATCACTGGATGAAGAAAAATGACTTGTTTGCTTGTTGTTTTTTATACCTTATAATTATCTATATTTCCTACATTGAAAATGTTAGTGACACCAAAAGGACGGCACCTAATTACATTACCTTATCTACAATCTGCACCTTTTCTTTATTTATTTTTGTACTTCTCTGAGTTGGGTGATTTCTTTAAAAGTAATATATTTCAATAGCTCCTACACTGTAAACTCTGTTGACACAAAATCATTCCTGCTGGTCAATTATTAGCTATTCTACATACTACAGCCTTTACTTAAAAAAATAAAATTATATATATATATATATATATATATATATATATATATATATATATATATATATATAGAGAGAGAGAGAGAGAGAGAGAGAGAGAGAGAGAGAGAGAGAGAGAGAGAGAGAGAGAGAGAGAGAGAGACTTCTCTGATTTTTTTTAGGATTTTAAAAGTTTTTTTTTAAATTTCAATAGGTCCAACACTGTAAACTCTGATGACACTGTAATAATCCTGCTATTTTGCAAAATAACAAAATGATGAACCTTCCGGACTGGAAAAATAAAGGAATCCTATACCTGGAACACATATATGAAGGAGTGGAATTTATCCCATTTAACAGAATAGTCTCCCAATATGGGATAGATAAGAATAACTTTTTAGAATACCACCAAATTAAATCTGTAGTTAAACAAAAACTTTAAGCTCAATAAAGTAGAATTACATACACCATCAAGGATATTAGACTTCTATAATCTCAAACCCCCCAAACTACTGTCTAAAGTTTATAAAACACTGTCCAAACTAGATAAATTGCATTTCTTGCAGAAATGCTGTTTCAATGCTCAGCTTAATAGCTGAACTGAAGCTGAAAGTACACAAAACTGTCAAAATGAGATGAATGTGTAGAAAGATGTAGAAGCAAAAATCACTAATGAGCCAATAAAGCACAAAAAGTAAGTGAAGAATGGAGAAAAATAATCCTAAAAAGCAAAAAACTGAAATCTGTGAACATTGTATAAAAATCTGGACAGCTAAAATGTCTAAACACATGTTATTTCAGTAGGACTAGTTTAACAGTTTAATTTTTACATTTAGCTGAACAGTGAAATTAGCAGCTCATGCTAAATTTGGTAACTGATTACTGAAGCTGCTGAATAGCTGAAAAGAACCTGAAACTAAGCTAAACCGGCAAATGAGCTGAATGTAGTGAAAAATGTGAATGCAAAAAGCACCAACAAGCAAAAAAAGCACAAAAAGTAAGGGAAGAATCAAGAAAACTAATCCAAAACAGCGGAAAACTGAAATCTGTGAACATTGTTTAAAAAGCTGGACAGCTAAAATGTCTAAACAACTGTTATTTCAGTAGGACAAGTTTAACAGTTCAATTTTTACATTTAGCTGAACTGTAAAATTAGCATCATATGCTGATGTCAGAAACTGATTGCTGAAGCTGCTGAGTGGCTGAAGTGAAGCTGAAACTAAGCTAAACTGTCAAAATGAGCTGAATGTATTTATCGATTTAGAAGCAAAAATAACCAACAAGTGTAATAAAGCTCAGAATATAGGTGAAGAATGGATAAAAAATGCTAAACAGCAGACAACTTTAATCTTTGAACATTGATTAAAAACTCAAATTTTGAAATGTTAAACAGCTGGCATTTGAATGAGAATAGTTTAACGGGTACATTTTTACAATTGGCTGAAATGTGAATTTAGAAACATTTGCTGATATCTGAAACTGATAAATTAACATATGTTCAGACTTGATATGGGATGGATGAATGGTTGGATGAATGAAATGACGGATGGATTGTTGGATGGATGTTAGATGGTTTATTGTAAGTAAGTAAGTAAGTAAAGTTTATTTATATAGCGCCTTTCACAGATATAAATCGCAAAGCACTGTACAACATGAGTAAAATCAGGGCAAATACCGCAAACCAATAAAAACATCATAAAAACAATAGCAGTGACAACAATAGTAACCAAAATCAGGAGTAAAAACAAAGTCAAGTTGTGAACAAGAACAAAGCCATCTTTTAGAATATTTAGCGGGGGAAAGCCTGGATGAAAAGGTGAGTTTTAAGATGTTTTTGAAGACCTCTACAGATTTCAAGAGATGGAGATTTGAAGGCAGACTGTTCCAAAGTCTGGGGGCAATAGACTGAAAGGCCCTGTCCCCTTTGGTTTTTAGTCTGGTTCGAGGAACAGCCAGGAGGTTTTCAGATGTGGATCGGAGGTTCCGTGAAGTGGTGTGTGGGGATAAAAGCTCAGATACAGTAAGTAGCTTGGAGCCTGGTTGTTAAGAGCTCTATAGGTCAGCACTAAAACTTTAAACTGTATCCTATATTCTACCGGGAGCCAGTGGAGGGACTGTAAAACTGGAGTGATGTGAGCTTGTCTGCTGGATTTGGTTAGGAGTCTGGCTGCTGCATTTTGGATGGCTTGAAGGCGTGAGAGGGAGGTTTTGCTGAGACCAGTAAAAAGAGCGTTACAGTAGTCTAAGCGTGATGACACAAAGGCATGGATGATTTTTTCCAGATCTGCAGTTTACGGACTTTTGAAATGTTTCTCAGTTGGAAGAAACAAGAGCGGGAGATGGTTTTGATGTGTGAGTCTAAACTTAAAACCGGATCAAAAATACCTCCCAGGTTTCTAATGTTGGCCTTGGCTGATGGGCAAAAAGAGGCAATTTCTTGCTCGATTTTTGGCTGAATTTCCGGGGGTGCAGCGATCAGGGTCTCTGTCTTGTTGGTGTTGAGAACAAGAAAGTTGCTGGACAGCCAGTTACTGATCTGGGTCAGGCAGAGTACAAGTGTGGCCAGCCTGTCCAACTGGTGTGGCATAAAAGACATATAGAGCTGTATATCGTCAGCGTAGATGTGGTAGGAGATGTCTGGGAAAGACTGAATGATGCCAGCTAGAGGAAGAAAATAGAATGCGAATAGTAGAGGCCCTAGAACTGAATCTTGTGGAACCCCGCTTGTTAGAGAGGCAGTATCTGAAGAGAAGGTTTCGGACTTCTCTCTGAATGTTCTGTTAGTGAGATAGGAAGAGAGCCAGTCTAGAGCTGAACCTGAAATCCCAGCCAGGGCATTTAACCTGTTTAGTAGAACGTTGTGGTCTACAGTGTCAAAAGCTGCACTGAGGTCAAGCAGGACCATGACAAAGCATTTCCCTGCATCAGCAGCCATTAGGAGGTCATTATGCACCCTTACTAGAGCAGTCTCAGTTGAGTGCTGCTTCAGAAAGCCAGATTGGAAGGGGTCAGAGATCTTTGACTTAGAAAACCAGGATCTGAGTTGGGTTTCAACAACCTTCTCAAGTACTTTGCTGATGAAAGGTAGCTTAGAAATGGGCCTAAAGTTACTGGTGGAGCTGGCGTCAAGGTTGGGTTTCTTTAAGAGAGGAGTCACAACTGCATTTTTAAAGTAAGATGGAACACAGCCTTAGCTCAGTGAGCTGTTGACCATAGTCAACAGAGATGGACTGATAGCGCCAAGGGACCCGACTAAAACAGAGGGAGTTAAGATATCTGATGAGCATGATGAGAGTTTCATCTGACTGATTATTGAGGCTAAGTCATTTAGTGTAATTGGGGAGAAGGAGGTGAAAGACTCGGAGCACTGAGGGGCCTCCCCTCCTTGGGGGGGGGGGGGGGGGGGGAGCTGGTGGAATGCTGGATCTCAGATTCAACACCTTGTTTGCAAAAAGGTGGAGAAAGGTGTTACAGTCATCAGCTGAAGATAGCTGAGCCTGCTGCGGAAGAGAAGACACGATGCTGGAGATGGTATCAAACAAGACCTTAGGATTGTTCTTATTTTGACATATGAGGTTGCTGAAAAAAGAAGACCTGGCATTTTCTAAAGCTTCGTTGTATGACTCAAGAAGTTCTTTAAAATATTCGCGATGAACAACCAGACCTGTCCTCTTCCACCGTCGTTCTGCTTTTCTATAGGAGCGTCTATGTTCAAGAATCTGGTTGTTCAGCCAGGGTGAGCTGGAGGCACTGGAACTGCGGCTGGTTTTGTAAGGAGCGACCTGATCTAGAATTTCGAGGCAGTGATCATTAAATGAGTTGGTAAGGAGCTCTACGTCATCAGAGGAAGGAGTCAAAGAGGGAGGAGAAATTTAAAATGGTAGAACTGTTGATAATACGTCGTTGCTTAGCAGAGTCTGGTAAAAGAGATTCAGAATTTAGGTTAATATGAAAAGAAACTGACTTATGGTCACTGAACACAACATCATGTATCTGCAGCTTATCAACAAGAAGTCCGTAGGAAAAGACCAGATCCAGGGTGTGGCCTGCTCTGTGAGTGGGACCAGACACGTGTTGAGAGAAGTTAAAAGAGTTCATCATGTTTAGGAACTCCCTGGTAGAGCAGTTAGATAGATCCTCAGCATGGATGTTGAAGTCTCCAACAATGATCATCCTGTCTAGTTTAATAGTTGAAGATAGGAGATCCTGAAAGTCAGACAGGAAAGATGAAGTAGATCCAGGTGGGCGATAGACCAGAATTCCATAGAGGACTATCTGCTTCCTCTTCAGCACATCCTGAGCTCCTTCAAAGGAATATCATACCATCTTTATGCAGATGACATCCAACTGTACATCTCCTTTAAGCCCCATGAGATGTCTAAGCTGCAGCTGTTACACACCTGCTTAGACTCTATCAAAACCTGGATGGTGGGAGCTTTCTTCAGCTGACTGAAGATAAGACTGAGATCCTCATCTGTGCCCCAGACAAGCTGGTTCCCAAAGTCAGAGACTCTCTTGGTCAGCTTGCTTCTCACACCAAACCTTCTGTCAGGAATCTTGGCGTGACCTTTGACCCAGCTCTCACCCTGGATTCTCATGTCAGTTCTCTTCGCTCTTCCTTCTTCCATCTCAGGAACGTTGCTGAGTCCCATTCTGTCCCGCTCTGAACTTGAGACAGTTCTCCACTCCTTCATCTCCTCACGCTTAGACTACTGTAACTCTCTTTTCACGTGTCTGAGCAGAACCTCCCTGAACCGTCTACAGGTGGTTCAGAATGCCTGTGCTCGGCTTCTGACCAAGTCCTCCAAACACACCCACATCACCCCGCTTCTCCTCCAGCTTCACTGGCTGCCAGTCACCTTCAGGGTTCATTTCAAGATCCTGGTTCTGGTCTATAGGACCTTACATGGACAAGCACCATCTTACACTGGTGATCTTCTTAGTCCCTACACCCCCAGCAGGTCCCTGAGGTCCAGAGCTCATCTCTTGGATTGGTTTCAGGACCTCTGGCCACAGTTGGTTAGTTTGGTTGTTATAAACCTACTTTGATACTTACATGAAATCCCAACATACTTAATATAACTTAGTTCAGTGCTTTTAGCTTGGATCTAAGAGCTTTTAGCATTCTTTACTTTCAGTAGGCCATTGATAAACTCAATTTAGAATAAATCCATTAGTTTAATCACTTCCACACACCACCTCTGAGAGGTTTTCAAACTGACCAGGTAACTATAAACAAGTCTTTTCTGGTGTTCCGCCATCAGCAGTCTAAAGATGAGTTTTAAAGGTCATTTTAGCCCTGAAGTCCCGTTTACTTTAGCTTTTCTAAATGTCTAAATGACAACTTAAACTTCATTCATAAGAGCGGTTAACATGTAGTCAGGTAGAACGTCACTGTTCCTGGAGAAGATGACAGAAGGAGACTGTCACAGAGAGCTGAGGACAATATACATTTTTATTTGTGCAGTGCATTTATCTTACATTCAGCTGACTATATCACCATAACAAAATAAAAAGGAACAATCTATACAATACTGCAAGTGCAACCTGCTTAGCAGTGATCTTTACCCTGAAGGAGGATGGAGGTTTATAAATATGAACACTTTACAAGGATCAGAGGATCTGAGTCCAGCGGAGCGCTCCTTCCTTCGCTGTAACATCTCAGCCGGATTTAAGCTGCTGAATGATGGCGCCAAATACACGGGCGAGAGTTAAAACAGACAGCTGGCACCAAGAAATCCACCATAAAGACACTAAATGTAATTTACAAGAAGTCAGACGTGTCAAAGCGTCTGTAGCCGTGGAGGTTCACAGGAAGTAAGGTGTTGTAGTTCGGGGAGGTATGACTCTTTCAGAGTCCGGCACCGCCCTGAAGAGCTTCGGCTCCCGTGTGCTAGCATCTTTAAAGACCATGATGGAGGCAATGTTGCCACAGCGGTAGCAGTAGTTAGGAGCCGACCACACCGTGACAAGCTTCTCATCGAACATGAACTTGTAGCCTTCGTGGACCAGCTGATGAGCCCGGCAGATCAGTTTCAGGTTGTTGATGTGAACAAACTGCACAGAAACACACAAAAGGATCAGAACCAGGAGCTCATCGTGTTACCCACCGACTGGCTCTGCAAGAACCCAGTTCTGATCTGAGACAGCCAGAAGAATGTACTGATGTTGGGCTGTTCCTGTGGATCACATGATCAATGAGCAGAACCTCACACAGCCTTTTGATAACAGAATTATCTGAAGTGTTGCCGCTCTAGGCTGGAAGCTTGCTGGGTCTCAGGACCAGAACTCTGCAGTTCTGGAACTGGACCCAGCCACTGGTCTTACGTTGCTTACCAGTGTCTATGCACAGTGACAGGAATCAGAGGAGAATGGTGCAACCATGTAGAGGCACTCTTGGGTGGCCATTGTGTCAGTCAGAAAAGTTACATCTCATTTCTTTTGAAGGTCCCGTTACCATGGAAACCGTGTAACACTCGTTCCTTCTGAAATACCATCGTCACTCTGAGCTGCACACGCATGCTGAACGTGAAATAGTCTTCAGCCCCATGAGCCCCTGGTGCCTGCATTAGCTACAGAAAGTTTAAAGACTGTCTCTTTTACGTCACAGGGGATATCTGTATTCATGACTCCGCCCACCTGTCTTGAGACTGCCCACGGGAAAGAGAGAGTAGAGCACAGCTGTGTCCAAATCCTGGACTCATGAGGTTGGATTTTAGGACCAGTGACATCACAGCGCCGTGACGAAGACTGTCCAAATTCAAAGAGTGGTCAGAATGCGGTCTTGAAATCTGTTCTTGTTTCTCTGATTTTAAGAACAGGTGCGGTGTAGTCTCCCCACCTCTATAAATCCTGAGATGCACTGCAGGACCAATGTTGTGAGAAATTCTGTTCCCCTGAAATCTATTCCCCCATGTCAGCAGGCTGCACTTCAGGCTATCTTCACACCATTTGTGATACTTTCATGGGAAAATTATGTAATGTAATAATGTCATGCTTGTGATGTGTTTTTATTTAAATTTCCTCCTAAAAACAATAAAAAAAAGTACAATAAAAACATTGTTGTTCACTCTTTTCCAGCAAGTTTATCATTTTTAAAAGTAAAAGGATGTAATCTCGCTCAGTTTAAACATCTTTCATCTGAGGTTGTTTAGTCCTCCCATAATGGAAATTAAGTCCTGTGAATTAGGAAATAATTGTTTTTATAGTTATTAAGTTATTAAGGGAAACATAATATTCTAGGGGGACAGAATTTCTCAGCACACCGGTGGTACATCTGCTGTCGCTCTTCAAACAGTAACAAAACAAGGAAAAATTTTAAAACATGTGCGAGGTCCATTTCTGCAGCTTCTTAGTGCGGTAGCCGTTGCTAGGCGACAGGACAACATCTGCTGAAGTAGGGGCGGGACTATTATTTAAGGCCAGACTGTCCAAATTCACAGCCGTTACCATTCGGTCTAACCGGTCAGGGAAGAACACGTTCTCCTGAGACCAATGAGGATGGGTACTCATGAGCATGCAACACCTGAATTTAGACACAGCCCACATCTCAGCTAGCAGAAGCTAACCATTAGCATTAGCAACTCCACAACGTAGCAAACTTATTCAGGTTCGTGTTATTTGTGGAGGTAAAACATCAACATTGTATTGATTACCCCAAAAAGAAGAGAGGCAGCAGGAGAGTTGTGTTGCTGTTAGCCAATCAGAGGTGAGATGCTCGCAGGTCATGAATATCATTGAGATTCAAGCTTTTTGATTGGTCTAGACACTGGAAGCATGAAGAGTGCTAGGCTAGTTAGGATAACTAGGATTGAACATTTTCAGGGGTTTCATGATGACTCCCATCAGCATCAACAGCATCTTTAGCCTCCTACGAGCCACCGTCCACATGGGTGCACATTCACTTCTTGCACAATAATACTTTATCCTCTTCAACTCAGACCTTTGTTTAATATTTAGAGACACTTGATATTGACCTAAATTTTTAAAATCTTTCTTTTTTATGTGAAGTGTGTCAAAATGTAATTCTATTTGTTTTGTTCACGTTTCTGAGTCGACTAATCTGTAATGGCTAGAATAGTTTTGTTCTTTTAAATGACACCAAAAATATGAATTTGGGTCTCAGGTTGATGTGAATAACGTTTGTTCACTGGTTGGAGGCGGACCTGTTCATCGAACTTGTGTTTGTAATTCTTGGGTTTTGACTTCATCAGTAGTTTACATCAGTTATTTGTTCCGATGCGCAGGTCTCCACCGGTTAGATCATTTTTACTGCTGTGTTCAGTTGTGTTCAGACAGAAAGCAGGTCACCTCAGCACCCTGAAACCGCCCACCTACCTCGTTTGTGACCTTTGCACCAAAAAGCCACCCGGCTCCTCTGGGACTGATGGCCCAGGTGTCCACATCCTCAGGGTCCGACCACACCAGGTCACAGAACGCTCCTTTGTGGGGAATCTCCTGGTTCCGCTCAATAGTTCTAATCTGGTCCAGAGTCTTGATGTCCGGAGACAGGCCACCATGGACGCACAGGATCTGTTCGTCCATTAGCTGACACACACACACACACACACACACACACACACAAACGGCTCATGTCGTAGTCAGGGATTAAATCAACCAGTAAGTTCAAAGTGTTGCCTTTCAGGTAAACTTTGCCTTGACAGACACAATCTACACTCTGATACCTGGCATCACTTAGACATGGCAACAAGAAGTGGCCGGCACCGCCACAACAACACGATCTCATCATGGGCCATTTTTTATTTCAGAGTAGGGTTGTCACGGTGTGAAAATTTAACCTCACGGTTATTGTGACCAAAATTACCACGGTTTTCAGTATTATCGCGGTATTTTTTTTTAAACGTGCTACATTTTCACATAATTAAATAAACCCTGTATGTCAGGAAATATTGTCCTCAGTTTGTGTCTAAATTTTGTCTAAAATGTGTTATTTTGTAATTATGTTGTTTATTTGTTTACATTTTTCCCCTTTAGTCTTTAAAATACCAATATTTGCCCATAACTTCTTATTTTATGCCTGTTTGATGTCATCATTTTAAAAATATTAGATCAGATGATACTCAGTACTCAAGTAGCCTTCTAATCAGATACTTTTTTACCCTTACTTGAGTAATAAACCCTATATCAGGAAAATATAGTCCTCGGTTTGTGTCCTTCCAGTGAGCTTTGCAGATTTGGGAAAATGTCATCAGGCAGTAATCATTGTTAAATTCATAATTATTCTCGGAGAGAGACCAACTCTTATCTGCCCCTGGGAGCCCCGTAATGCATAGCGTCATTTCAACATGGGGGTGTCCGCGACACGGTTTATATGCAGGTAGCTGCGCTGCGGCTGCTTTATATAGCGACTCGTTTCATTCTCCCTCAACCCAAATCCTCGGATCACACATTTAAGCTAAAACGCTAACTTGCCTTGCGTTGACTGTAGAGTTGTGGGTGATGGTCACGCAGATGTGTCATGAGATTTGAAGCGTTGCTGCCTTTCACAGACACTTTTCCTGCACGTGCTGCAAACAGGATAGCCGTCTTCTATCAACTGTCCCTCTGCATTCTTCAAATATCCAAAAGATGCCCATACTTCCAACGTTGTCTTATTTGAGGGATAATAAATGTCCTGAGCGCTGCCGTCTCCTCCTTTGGCCATTATTTCAGCTTTAGCTTCAAGAAAGTTTTGGTTGTAAGTGCGCACGTGCCCTGGCAACTTCAGCACATGATACGGTGGCTGGTAAGGGTCACCGCGCCTACACCGCTGCCACGGTAAACCCACCGAGATACTATTTTTTTAAAAAACAAGACAGTTATTATTATTGTCAACTTTTTTACCGGGGTTTACCGCTACACCGGTTACCATGACAACCCTATTTCAGTAAAACACAAAACACCAGCAATGTAGAAGAAAACATCTCTACTTACAGCTGCAACTGTTAACATATCAAAAACTTTGGTGCAGTACCGCCAGGCGTTGGCGTTCCCATATTTGGTCTGGCATTCATCTATAAGACATGGTCATATTACAGCTGGGACCCAAACATCTGCAGCAGCTGCTCAACATCTTCCATCTCATCTTACCATAAAAACCATACACTTGTGTGATCTGCCTGCTCTCGTGGTTTCCACGCAGCAGTGTGATGCGGTCTGGCCATTTGGCTTTCAGCACCAGCAAATATGTGAATGTCTCCAAACTGTAATACCCTCGGTCCACAAAGTCACCCTGTAGAGGACGGATGTTTGTTACAGACGGTCACAGAAGAAACCTCCTACTTAGACAGAGAGAGACACAAACCATGAAGATGTAGTTTGTGTCTGGGACCTGGCCGCCGGTTCGGAACAGCTCACAAAGATCATAAAACTAAAACAGAAGCAGATTAAATATTTAGTGCAGAACAAAAGAAAAACATTAACCTTCACAATAACAAAATTAACTAGCGAGAACATTTGAGGTACCTGTCCATGAATGTCTCCACACACCGTCACAGGGGTGGAAACGGGCTGAACGTTGGACTCCTCCAGCAGAAGATCACACACATAATCACACAACCTCTGGACGCGACAACAGACAGAGTTTAGGGTTAACGCTGGGACCAGAAGTCGCTCTCAGCACCTTGTTATAGCCCCACGACACACACGCTACGCCAAAACTGAAAATACAAACTGAAAAACTATTACAGGTTATAGTTAAGTTATAAAAACCTTACACTAAAGCCTTTAGTGTATAGCTGCTCTGGTGTCAGTACACAGCTAGAAACTGATTGGATGAGATTCTAATTATTTCCGTTTTAATCCTCCAAAAACCACAAATTGTGTTTAAAAGGGTTTGTTTGTATTACAGGTTCATTAACTCAGGTGTGAAGCTGGGCTGACCAAAGGTGGCTACAACGAACATGAGCTGGGTGAAGTCGGTTCTTCAGCAACAGCTTACCTACAAACCCATTCTTGTTTTTGTGTGCTCTAAACCCTTCCGATCCACATAACTGCGTCACCAGAGTTGAAGTAGGACCAGAAATCTGATTAATTTGGTCCAGATATAAATCCGTAGCGTTCGTTTCCCTCAAAACTGCAAACTGATCATAAAATATAATCATCACAGCTTTTAGTGGCTTAGAACACGTCCTACTGACAATGTTCGGGTTTATTCTCTTTCAGGAAGAACAGACGCAGAAACTTCACAGCTCTAACTTACGGTCCAACACAACAGCTAGCAGATGCTAACGCTACCTACTCAGTGTGCTCCAGTAGGAAACGACACACAGAAACAGTCCAGTGATGATGAGGTTCCAACGAAACAAAGGTTGCAAACGTCACATTTACCTTGAGATCATTTTCTGGGAGATATTTGCACTGCTTAGCAATCTCCGCATATTTATCCAAATCCAGCGGCGCCATTATGCCGTTAATGGTTGTTTATGTTCGACTTCCGGCGCCGCATCACGTTTACTCTTCTTTACCGCCCCTAGTGGCTGTGTATGGGACTGCAACAAGATGACAAAAGATGAAAACAGACAAAAACAGAAGAGAACAAGAGGTACATGGTAAAAGAGGAACAATAAAATAAAATATAATGTAATTAAATAAATTGCGTTTCTGCTCAGTATGATAATTTATACACTTAAATGTGTTTATAATTATTCATAAAATCAATACATAATTCACATACTTAATCTTTAATCATATTTGTATGTGTAGAAAACAAAATTGTGTTGCTTTAAAGCTCTATAGCTCTTACATCCTAGACTCTGCGTTTGAGTGGCTCCCATTACACTGTCTGAGATGAGGAATTCAGAGGAAGGAATGCTACTTTGGCCCAACTGCAATAACATAAACTAAACTCAGAACCCTCCTCCCCTTCCACATGAACACTTTTAAATGAATTGCTTGTACCTTTTAGTCTTATCGAGTATTTCATAAAAAGAACCATCATTATGATGGAGTAACAGTAGTACTGGTTATGCAGTGCCTTGTACCTGGATGAGTGTGTTGGTGTGTATTTAAGGTCTCTAATCAAGCTATTTTAATAAACTCCTACACTCCAAGTCTGGTTTGGGGATTACCTTAAAGGTACAACAATTTACAGTGAGATAATCCCAAACAGTCTAATGTCTAATGTGTGACAAACACGGTCACACTGAAACAGAGCTCCTCCTAAGCCAACTAGGGGATTGTTAGTGTTTTTCCTTTGAATAAAGCTGAAGAGGACATAGTCTTTGTTTATAATCTGTGAGCCCATGGGTGTCCAAGAAGCCAGCCAGCCAGCAAGACCCAGGAGTATTTTATAGAGATCCTAAGACAGTGGGAGGAGCAACCCATTAAATCTGTCAACAAATCTTTTGCTTCATGACAGAAAAAATAAGGAAGAGCTGAATTTTAGAGCTGATTTGGATTAAACCAGCCTGAAACCTTTAGAGTTGTGTTACTGAATGAGTCGTAACAGGAAACCAGACCAACAGCCTTCAGGAATGAATAACAGGGACAAGTTTGCACATGGAGGAGGTACAGATGAGGACTCCTACCCTGCAGAGTGAACAGCTCATCATCTAACACACACCAGTGACACAGAATCACACCAAACACCTGCTTAAAGAATCACATTAAACACCTGCACACATAGTCACACTAAACACCTGTGCACAGAATCACACTAAACACCTGCACACATAGTCACACTAAACACCTGCACACAGAATCACACTAAACACCTGCACACAGAATCACACTAAACACCTGCACACAGACTCACTCTTAAACACCTGCACACAAAGTCACACTAAACACCTGCACACATAGTCACACTAAACACCTGCACACACAGTCACACTAAACACCTGCACACACAATCACACTAAACACCTGTACACATAATCACACTAAACACCTGTACACATAATCACACTAAACACCTGTACACATAATCACACTAAACACCTGTACACATAATCACACTAAACACCTGTACACACAGTCACACTAAACACCTGTACACATAATCACACTAAACACCTGTACACATAATCACACTAAACACCTGCACACATAGTCACACTGAACACCTGCACACACAATCACACTAAACACCTGCACACATAGTCACACTGAACACCTGCACACACAATCACACTAAACACCTGCACACATAGTCACACTGAACACCTGCACACACAATCACACTAAACACCTGCACACATAGTCACACTAAACACCTGCACACACAATCACACTAAACAACTGCACACATAGTCACACTAAACACCTGCACACACAGTCACACTAAACACCTGCACACACAATCACACTAAACACCTGTACACATAATCACACTAAACACCTGTACACATAATCACACTAAACACCTGTACACATAATCACACTAAACACCTGTACACATAATCACACTAAACACCTGTACACACAGTCACACTAAACACCTGTACACATAATCACACTAAACACCTGTACACATAATCACACTAAACACCTGCACACATAGTCACACTGAACACCTGCACACACAATCACACTAAACACCTGCACACATAGTCACACTGAACACCTGCACACACAATCACACTAAACACCTGCACACATAGTCACACTAAACACCTGCACACACAATCACACTAAACACCTGTACACATAGTCACACTAAACACCTGTACACATAGTCACACTAAACACCTGCACACACAATCACACTAAACACCTGCACACATAATCACACTAAACACCTGCACACATAATCACACTAAACACCTGCACACAGAATCACACTAAACACCTGCACATATAATCACACTAAACACCTGCACACAGACTCACATCAAACAGCTTAAAACACAGAACGGTTCATGAATTTATTCCACATGAACCCAACACTTACAGCGTTAGGCTTTCTGACCTTTTTTTTTTAATCAAAGTCAACCTTTTCAACATGAAACGCGTAAAGAACCAGTAAGATGAAAGCAGAACAAGCGCTGAGGTTCTACCTGAGCAGGATTGTTGTCAACATGTTGAGTTATGTCCAATCAGAGAGCATGTAGGCGATGCGCGCGGCATCTGATAGGCTGCTGGACCTGCCAGTCTCCGGTCGGACGGTAGGTTGAGTCTCCATCTGGATCAGGAGGAACCGAGCTGTAGCGTTAACCGACCGATGGCGGAGGAGGTCTGACAGAGACCGGTACCGGGGCCTACATGGAGACCTGAAACCGAACATGAGCACAACATCCTTAATGATGCGCAGGTCATCGGTTCTGTTCTGTGTTCTGTTCGGATACATCATCGGACGTTCGGACGCTGCGCCCCCCGTCAGCCCCGATGCCTGGTTCGGCTCAGACTCCCGGGGAGGCATCCAGACCCCTCCACCCGGAACCAGGTCCTCCCTCGATCCCGGACCCGGACTCCATCTGACGGCTGCTGTTGTTTCATCCGACCCGAAGGCCTCTAGAAGCCCCGCGATCAGAACCGGAACCGTTTCCCCTGAAACCGGGTTAATCTCAGCCATAAGGGAACCAGTGGCTGGTCCGGGTTCCGGACTAAGCAGCACTCGGAAACGGTCCACTGAGGCCCAGACGGTTCTGGCTCCTGAGAAGATGCTGCAGACGCTGATGTCCATGGTCTCCTCCCAGCGCTCAGACAACGACGCCTGGGCTTCAGAACCGAACCCTGCTGTCACCTCAGCGGAAATAGGTCCGGGTGAGTGATCAGAACCGGGCTCGGTCAGTGTGAGAGGTCAGAACCGATCCGCAGAAAATCTGCTTATGATGTTGCTCATGGCTGGTCTCATGGTTGGTGCCGGGTTCCTGGAGGTCCTGGTGTGGGTTCTACCGCAGAGACCTAAACAAACCAACAGAAAGTAAATGTGGCTCGGTTCAGAAATCTGGACTCATTTAACAAGACATGTTAGTATTAAATGTGCAGATTCATCTGGGCCTTCTGGACCAGGCCTCAGTGTTATTGGGGTGGGGTGGAGGGGCTCAGAACCAGGCCGTCTGACCAGTAGGCCAGAACCAGGACCTAGTTGTTTACTCCTCACTCACACCTCAGGGTTCTGATGATCTGGTGCTGCAGGATCAGGTTTCTGACCCGGATTCACACCTTACTGAACCAGAGCCAACCGGACGTCTTCCCACTAAATCCTGGTCCAGAACCACTTGGTTCTGAGGTTAAAGGGGAATTAAATGAGGTGAAAACCGTGGTTCTGATGTAAACAGAACTCGCATGATGATGTCATGTAAACAGAAGGGTCAGCCCGTCTCACCGAGGCGAACAAATCTCTTATTCTCCTAACTGAGGCTGTTCACGGAGCTTTTCCCAGAAGTGTCTGGACCTACACCAGAACCAGAGAACTCCAGTCCAGGACTGGTTTCAGGTCAGGCCGAACCCTCACGGCAGTGGCTCCCAAACCCTTTTCCTCTAGGACCCCCCTTGCCTAGGCCGGACCCCGAACCCCAGCTCCTACACGCATCCAGATTTATAACTTTTATACAGAGTTTCCATCATACAGCTGGGGGTGTTGGTGCGATTTAATAAATGTCATTTTCACCAATAAAATCTTGCTAGAATGCCGGTGCCGGTGTCAGAAGAACCCGTTTTTGAGGTGTGTGTCTGTGTGGGTCTTGGGGTTCTGGTGCCTAACCCGTCTGCAGTGATGTCAAATCCAGACCCAAGGCTCAAAGTTTTATAGCAGAGTTCCAGCGTCTAGCTGTAGAGGTCTGAGATTCCATCAGAACCGCACTAGAACATCACAGTGTTCTTATTTGTTTACTTTGATCAGAAACAGGATTGAATGATTTTTAACTGAGCTAGAAGCAGAACTTCATTTTGTGATGTCAGACCAGAGGTTCTGGTTCTGGGGGCAGAACCTGAACGTTCTGACTCTAAAAGTAAAAATGGCTGTCTGTTTTTAGTGTAAACTAGTGATGGTGAGTTCACAGACGGAATAAAAACCAGATTTTTAGCTTTCCAGTCGTGCTGATGATCAGCCCTCTGAACACTGATTGAGTCAGGTGTCAGAGCGGGCTTACAGCCTACAATTTCAACTCTCAGAGCCTTAAATCACATCATTTCAGACTCAGGTGCAGTTTTTATAGAGTTAATCCCATTTGTCTCATCGACCAATGTAGCAGATTGGGTAATTCTCTCTCTCGTGGTTTCTAAATAATCTCACTAAACAGCACAGAGTATTCAATCAGAGCATTTCCACTCCTCTTTTTGTAACTTAAAGGTGTTCCACAGGGACCAATCCATGGCCCCGCCCATTTCCCCACCTGGTGTATACTGCGGTGGGCCCATTTGACCCCCTGATAATCTCTTGACATATGGTGCAGCTGTAATCTGAACCCTTCTCAAGGTTCTGCTTCGGCTGAGGATCTGATTATTTTATTTGTGTGTGACCTGTTTCTCCCCCCCCACACACCTCAGAGCCCTCGTGCAACTGCAGCAGCGGCAGCGAGGGGATTCAGAACCCAGAGGAGTGTGACCCGAGGACCGGTCAGTGTTTGTGTGTGTCGGGCTACAGCGGTCTGCAGTGTGACGAGTGTGAGGGGGAGTTCTTCACCAATGGCACCAGCGGCTGCCTGCCCTGCTCCTGTGACTCCTTCGGTGCCATGAACCTCCTCTGTGACAGGTCAGGCTGCTTTCCCTCACTTTTACACATTCATGCTGCTAACCAGTAAAATCTGCTGTAGTGTGTGTGTGTGTGTGTGTGTGTGTGTGCGCGCATCTTCAAAATGTCACCATCTCACCAGCTCTGCCGCCAGTTTCCCATCTCCAAAATGTTCTAACACCAGCCTGGCCGTAATATGCGTCACTGACCATGTGGCGAGTGCATGGCTCCCTCTTCCCGGTTGGTGGTCCAGAGCTCCGTCATGCTGGAGAAGGCATTGTTCAACCTGTCGTTGGGTGGCTGGAGGAGTTCCTCTGGGGGGATGTTTAGGTATCTGAGGCTAGACTGTGAGTCTCGACATCAGACCATCCACCAAAACTCTTCTCCTCCCTGTGCAGCTGTCGCACCCACACCTGCCTGCTGCTAATCAGGGATCGGTCCTGAGAGCACCGATCCCTCTGCTGGATCGGCTTTAGGACGTGGTCCTGGGGCTGCTGGTGTTTCTAGAGTGCCTTGATGCCTTCTTCACAAAAGAAGGATATCAAATTAAGAGATCATGGAACTCAGTAGTTTAGTTGCTGTTCTCTTGCATATTTAAACATCATAGAAACAGATGTGACACTCAGACTAGCAAATGAACTAATTACATAACAATTGTAAAAATATCTAAAATCGGGCTTGAAGGTCAGAGGTCATGAGCCTCATGGCCTCAAGGAAGGAGCCGTTCCTCAGCCTGGTTTCCACCTGAAGGAAGGAGGAGGATTAGCTCTTGTGCTAGATCTGTCATTATGTTCTATGCAAATCTAACTTCTCTGAAGCACCTTCTTGTCAGCCTCAGACCCGTTTCCATACCAGGCTATCCTGTAGAACAATGAAGTGGAAAGAAGGGTGCTTGGCTCAGGACACATCCTGGTGGAACACCAGTCATGAGGCGATGCCATGTAGCTTCTGACTATCAGGACATGAAAAGCCCAGTTACCCAGAGTGAACCTGTTACAATGTTCTGACAGGAAGGCTGAGAACAGCGGATGTTGAGGGACCGTTTCTGCCCAAACCGGTTTAGATGCGACTCTCAGCCTGATCACTGCTGTGTGAATTTGTGCAGGAAAGGAAGTGAAGCTGAACCATTTCATTGATTATGATCTGTGGCTTTGCTCTGTGAATATGTCTTCGCTGTGAATTCATGAGGCTTGTCCATGGCTAGCATTAGATAGCGCCTGTTATTAGTATGCAGTAGGGCTGGGCGATACGGCCTAAAATCAATATCACCATATATTGAGGATTTCACCTCGATAACGGTAAATGGACGGTGACTACAGGTATGCGCAGAAGCAGAAGTTGTCCACTAGATGGGGCTGTCACATGTATTACGTTGAGTGACGTCACATGACTAAAGCTTCTTTAACGGACATGAACGTTGCCAACCCTTCACACATCCTTTCATGTTTTTGTTATCAAATTTATTGACATGGGGAAACGATATTGGTTAGAGTCAGACGTACTGAGAACAATACATTTTTGATGAATTGAGCAGCTCTATTAGGCAGCTAATGCTATATCATTAAATTAGCCTTTGACTCCTTTGATCATACAGGTGAATCTGGTGTAAAAGTCCAGTTATGTCAGTAATCCAGCTCAGACTGAGAGACCATCTAAAGGCTCAGGAACCCTCTGCAGGTGTTCTGGATTCATCAGCTGATCAAAGTGTGACACTTTGAGTCTAGATTATTGACCCTTTTCACAATATTCTGATCTGAGGTTTAGAATGTGGGGTTTTCATCAGCTGTAAGCCTGAACCATCACAGTTATAACAAATAAAGGCTGAGACATCTGGATTAGCATGGAATGAGTCCGTCTCATAGATTAGTTTCACCTTTTAGGTTGGATTACTGACATAAATGAACTTTAGCACCAGATTCTGACTCTTCCTATTTTTGTGACACAGTGAAGATCACCATCCTAAAACGCGATAACGGTGGTTAATGTTGTGTAAGCTTTTGAGAGCTCTGAGGAGGCAGCAGGTTTTGTCGGGACTTGTTTTGCCCCGTCTACTCTTGCCTGAGACCAGAGGGCTTTTTCTAAGAAGCCAATTCAAAACATGCAAACTTTCTTCTTCTTGTTCCCTCCACCATGATTCCCATACAAAAAAACAAGTTTAATGCAGATATCTGGATGTTTTCCTTCAGAGGACACCATCTACAGGCGGAAAACATGTATCGCACCATAAGCCCCTCTCCCTACTTCCGTGATTAATACCAAAGCAGCGCCTCTCATTGGTGAACGCACGTGTTATGCTGTTTATTCATTTATTTGTTTCAAGACCAACGCAGACTCTGGACCAGTCTAGGTTTGTGCTCAAACTCGAGCACACTCTGTGATTGACAGCTGTACGTACGCGTACGTCTAACGCTATTGGCTAATGCTAAACAGCACTCAACTCTAATTACATGGGTCTCTATGGAACAGGTGGGGGGGGGGGCTAAGAAAACAAAATTATTTACTGCCTACATTATATCATAGTGCAGGTTAGACCATCACATTTATGGATTTAAGAGTAATTATACATCATTCATGAAAAGGGAAAACACCAGGATGCTGCTTTAATATTAATGTTTTTACTGCTCAAAAGTCACAGATGAACAGTTACAGAACAGAGAGAATAAATCTCTGAAACTCTTTTTATTAGACTCCTGCTGTAATCCAGGGTTTATGAGTGGTGTTAAACTTGTTAAACGCTACTGTCAAGTCCTGCTTTTTCCAACTCCGCCGCATCACTCGTCTTAAGTCAATCCTCAAACGCCCGGATCTTGAGTCAGTCATTCATGCTTTTATTACTTCACATCTGGATTACGCAAAGTCTGTCCTGATTGGGATTAATGCTTCAGCCTTAAGCAAACTGCAGAAGGTTCAAAATGTCGCGGCCAGATTTTTAACCAACACCGACAGACGCATGCACATCACACCCATCCTCGCAGATTTACACTGGCTCCCAGTCAAATTTAGGATTAACTTCAAGGTATTGTTATATGTTTACAAGGCTTTGTACTGCCCATCCCCATCCTATCTGACAGACCTGCTGACCCCATATGTTCCCACCCGTGCCCTTCGGTCAGCAGATCATCTGCTGCTTGTTGTTCCGAAGGTTCGGTACAAATCACGGGGGGAGCGTGCCTTCTCTTATGCAGCCCCAAAACTCTAGAACTCTCTGCCCCTCCGTGTGTGTCTGGCTCCCTCTGTTAGCAGTTTCAAGTCGGACCTGAAAATGCACTTCTTTAGCATTGCCTTCCCTCCGTGACACTTTTCATGACAATCTAGCACCGGATTTGAGTTTTTAATTCCGTTTTTATGATTCAGTTGCTCACTTTTGCCACCTCGCACCAACTGGTATTTTATTTCCTTTTTTTTATGCCATTTCAAATGTTTTTATCATTCGTCGCATTATTTTATTTTTATAGTGCTGTTCTCCTATTTTATTGTTTTTAGTAGGAATTTTTATCTCCGGCTATTTATGCTTTGTTCTTATGTATTTTGCCTGTTCTTATTGTGTTTCTTGGTCAAGCATTTGGCTTTTTTATGTACAGCACTTTGGTTAGCTGCCATGCTATTTTGAAATGGTGCTTTATAAATAAATATGGTATGGTATGGTATCAGGCTAGATTGTGTTAAATGCACTGGAGAAATCAAAGAACATGACCCTCACAGTGCTGCCTGCTTTGTCCAGATGACAGTGGATTGGTTGAAGCAGCTGGATGATGGCATCTTCAACTCAAACTCCATGGCGATAAGCAAACTGCAGCGGGTCCTGATATGTTCTAGTTTGCTTATTCAGGTGGACCAACAGGAGTCTCTCCATGACCTTCATGATGTGGGATGTCAGGGCAACCGGTCTGTAGTCGTCATTGACTGATGGGCAAGTTTTCTTTGGAACTGGAACAAGGCAGGATGTCTTCCACAGGACTGGAACCTTCTCCTGGGCCAGGCTGAGGTTGAAGAGGTGCTGCAGAATCCCACAGAGCTGCTCTGCACAGGCCTTCAGTACTCAGGGGCTGAAACCATCTGGACCTGCAGCCTTGTTCCTGTTCAGTCTCTCCAGCTGCCGCTTCACCTGATTTCTAGAGACAGATAGGTGGGAGGGGGAGGTAACTGGGGCAGCAGCATCTCCTGACTTGGTTGAAGACAGATTTATAGAACCAGAAGAGTCCATGACTGCGTTAGAGGACAAAAGAGCTGGCATGTTGGATTAGAGGAGGATGGAATGTCTGATTGGCTGGGGACAGGCAAGGAGGATGCTGGGTTTGTTCCTGAATTGAACCTATTGAAGAACTTGTTCAGTCATTGGCTGTGTCCAGGCTGCCATCTGTGCAATCCTTCCTCTGCTTGAACCCTGTATTCTTCTTCATCCCTGACCAGACATCTCTGATACTGTTCCTCTGTAGTCTGTTCTCCAGCTTCTTCCTGTATGCCTCCTTGCTGTCGCAGATCTTGATCTTCAGTTGCTTCTGTATACTCCTCAATAATTCCCTGTCTCCCTTCTTGAAGGCTCTTTTTTTCTCATTTAGCAGATTCTTCAGTTCACTGGTGATCCAGGGTTTGTTATTAGCGAAGCATCTCACTGTTCTGGTGGGTATGATGTTGTCCACACAGAAGTTTATATAGTAAGTGACACATCCAGTCATGGCATTTATGTCATCTTCAAATCCTTGGCAGAGAGTCTGTGCTCTCAAAACAACCCTGCAGGTCTTCTTCAGCATCCTGTGACCATTTTCTCACAGTTCTTCTTGTCACAGGTTGCCTCTGAACAAGTGGTTTGTATTCTGAGCAGAGAAAAACAAGATTGTGATCTGCTTGTCCCAGAGGATGTCTTGTTTTGGACATGTATGCATTTTTACATTTGCATAACACAAATCCAATGTCTTGTTTTCTCTGGTGGAGCAGCTGACAAACTGTTGAAATGTTGGAAGTGTTGCAGAGAGCGAGGCATGATTAAAATCACCAGATATAACCACAAATGCATTGGGGTG